GGCATATTTAAATTCAAATGCAGTGCAGAATTTTTACCTGAAGGTGGCGCAACACTGACAGTTTTAGGCATATATTTGTTTTTAGTAGCTTCGCAGGATGTGCGTAAACAGTTTCACTGTCATCTTCATGGCAAAGAGGGCGGTCCCATGAACGACGTGATGTCGCGTGCAGAAGGTCAGTATTAGATTTTAATGCCAATAACGGCCAATAACATCGGACATCCCTAGTAATTTGATTGGGTGGGTTAAGTTCTTGTACCAGAGTGATTGGCTTCATGTTTGGGAAATGATTCCTAAAGTCATCGTTCCTTGTTTGTGTGTGTGTGTGTGTGTGTGTGTGTGTTTTTTTATGCATTTAATTTTTTTTTATTCAACTCTGACAGTCTGTAATCAAAGTAGTGAATATATGGTCAGTGTAATCAAACATGATCACACTGACATGCACATCTACAACTATTAGGTTTGAAACTAATCATCGACCCTAAAATTCATCAGGTAGCTACATTCTGAAGTAGGCACACACACATGATTCTGCAGAATTTCATCGCACTAACGGGAACCTTCAACAATACGAAGGCAGATTTCTGGAGCGTGTCACTGCATTTGATGCCAGGCTGTTGGCAGAGCCAGAGTCATTCCCCTGCTGTTGCCAGAGTGGCAGGCAGTGAGAAGGAGGGAAACAGACTTGGCCTGACATATGCTGGCTTAGAGGAGACGGGCCCTGAACTGCTGGTGCTGTACGGTGTTTGTAGCTGCGAGCCCATTCTGTGAGTGTCGCAAGGCGCTGTGCTGGGAAGAATTCGGCCTGCCTTTGACTAAGCAAAGCAGCTTATGTAAGATTTCGAGTCCTTGGTGAGATCAAGCAAATACCGTCCAAGGCCCTTCAAAGCTTGTGTTGATAAATGTGCTGCTGAATAGCGACCCGCTCCGTAAAAATTTAAGCATCAGCACTACACGAATCGGCCTCTGTCAGTTTTTCCCAGGCTGCCTTCATTGAATGCTGTCGCTGAAGTAGCAGTGGAGTATCTCCATTATGCAAAGTGGGCAGAGCTGGGAAGAAATGTTGCATATCCATGACCTGGGTTTAGTTCACAGCGAATTTCTGCTTCACCAAGTAGCACTAATTACAGTGAGACCATTTAGCTAGTCAGTCCAAACCATACCATACCATAGTTTATTTATATAGCACGTTTAAAACGCAGCATGGGAGCTGCCCAAAGTGCTGCACAGGCTAAAACAACACGCAACCATTCGAAGGAACTATGGCCTAGTCCACACGTAGCCGGGTTTTTTTTAAAAACGAATATCCGCCCCTCCAAAAACTTGCATCCACACCACCGAATTTTAAAAACAAACTCTGTCCACACGTACCCGGATAAATACGTTGTTAAGGACATGCCAGACCTGTAGGCGGCAGTACTTCCCCCGTTCGTAACCTCGTCCTTCGTCTGTGGTCTTCCGCAAGGAGCAGTAATTCCGCTTGCAAAAACAAACAAGCAAAAAGCGCTTGGACAATTGATGGATCGGGTAGTGACAGAGCGCAGCTCTGAGGGCTTCCATGATGCCGGCTAGTGTAAACACAGGTCGCACACGTGATGTCAGCATTTTTTTGTCGCGGAAAGTGACGTTGCGGACCTTAAAACTCCAGTTATGTCCGTCCACACGCAGACACCCAAAACGGAGAAAATGCAGATCTTCACTTTGGCCGGAGTTTTTAAAAAGATCCGTTTTCGTGTGAAAAAACTCCGTTTTCGTGTGGATGACAGGCCAAAACGTAGAAAAATGTCTACGTTTTGGCAGATCCCCGGCTACGTGTGGACAGGGCCTAAAACAGAGGATAAAAATCCCAGTCAAAAGCAGATAAAACATGATGAATACTAAGAACACATTAAAACAATGACACAATAAAACACTAAAACGAGTCACTGTCAAAAAGCCAAATCGTAAAAGTGGGTCTTTAAACGAGATTTTGAAACCGCCAGTGACGGAGCCTGCCGAACTCCAATGGGCAACGAGTTCCACAGCTTTGGGGCAGCATGCACAAATGCTCGTTCACCCCGCGATTTGTATCGCATCCGCGGCGTACACAGCAGCAAAAGGTCAGCCGACCTCAACGTGCGTGTGGATGCATATGGAGTGAGCAGGTCAGAGAGGTAGGGAGGTGCCAGGTCATTGAGAGCTTTAAATACAAAAGTCAATAACTTAAATTGTACTCTGAAAATGACAGGGAGCCAGTGAAGATGTTCCAGGACAGGGGTAATATGGCTACGTCGGTGTGTATTCGTCAAGAACCTGGCAGCAGCGTTCTGGACGACCTGCAGCCGATTCAGGGCAGAGACCGAAACACCAACGACGAGGGCGTTTGCGTAGTCAAGGCGAGAGGTAATGAAGGCATGGCTTTAGCAAAGATACATCAGAGCCCCAAGTCAGCAGCGAAACACAAGAAGTTGACTAAAGTAAGGAAGCAAAACATCTCAGAGACATTTAAACCATTCCTAGAAACTCTGCCGTGTGAGAATTTAGTCCATCGTTTTTTTCCCCCTTTCACTTACAATGTTCTGTTATACCAACACCATGTATGGAAGCCATGAAACAAAAGTGATTGAAAAAAATAATTAGGTTTTTCAGTTTTCTGAGTCCTAACAGTTTTTTCCTTTGACTATATGAATAAAATGTTTGTTTTTTAAGCATTTATTTATTTTGGGGAGACTAAAAGTATTTTCCCTCTAATTTCTAATGAAAAAAATTAATGAATAAATAATTAATACGGTAAAAAATAAAAGAAAAAAATTGGGCTGAGAATTGGAAACTAAAAATGAAATGGAAAATAAAAACTATTCATTCTCGAAAATATCTTATTTGATTTTATGGGTGTAAACGTTACAACCACTGCTTGAAGTGGAAAAATAAGTGCTGGTACTCCTCGTAAGACTGGGGGTTCGTATCAGCGGTTAAATGGACTGTTTACCAGAATACGGACAGATTTTTTTAGTGTGATTTCTGAGATTTTGGCTTAAAAATTGCTGCGAAAAACTCCCGGTATGTTGAGAGGTCTAATTTAAAAGTGAATTTAAAGCACTGATTACAACATATCTCTGTTTTATTACTCACATTTTGAGGCACGACTGAAAAAGTATTGGTCTTCCCAAAAATGTTGTTCCTTTTTTAATATTTCTTAAAGTTGAGAAAAAAAATTTCACTCATGGCTTTATTTGATTTCATTTTATGTTTGCAATTCAGTGTTCAAATAATACATTTCGTCTTCTTTCAGGAATCTTAAAACACGACCCTTAGTCCCCTAACCACCTCCGTTTCTTTCTCCTTATAAGTCATCTTGTCAAGAGAAGCCGAAAAATAGTCCGACTTGGAGAATGGAAAGTGCCATCATTCTGACTCATGAAACACTGTAAAACCATTCATCCTTTATGCGCTATATTGAAGCAACTTCATTATTTAAACATTTTGAGCCTTTCTGCTTGTATTTCAGCATTTCTGTGGCCTCATCTCTTATGTGACCATCTTCCTTTTAATTCCTGAATCTATGATGTGAAGTATTTCATGGAGACCTTTTTTAGTAACCGCACCTTTGGAAGAGCATTACAGAGAATAATATGACACTTCCTTTAACTGGGAATGTGGGAAAACTCAATATTTACTAGATGAACATAAAAGGTAGATGTTTAGCTAAAACTATTTTCATCTCTTGTATATCATAGCTATAGTGAGGATGAATATAATGCCAAATATTCATTATTTGTAAAGAACTATATATAGAGAGATATATAAATATATAATATATGCCTCATTGAAACTCCTGCGTTCTGCTCTTCTCTTCTGATCTCTTTTTTATTTGATTGGATTGTTTTATAAGCAGGTATGCTAGCATGCAATTTCTGAATGTAGGCTTATTTATTTATTTCCTGTCCAGGATTACAACACTGTTCCATGTATGGTTTGTACTTTTTGTAAGTTTACAACATGTGTGTTTTTGAGTGTGAGTGAATTTTGTGTAATTCATTGCATCACTGACCTTTTTTGTATGATTTGAAATGAAAATATGCATTCCCCCACTTCCTTCTTTTCAAGCTGAGCGACTTGAAAGTTTTTGCTTCTTTAAGTAAAGGCATTGCTTTGGTCATTCATTGTAAATATTTCTGCAATAAAATTTTTGGAGAAAAAAGTTGGGCGTTTGGTCTGTGTGGTGTCTGTTTATTTAAAAATGTCGCCATAGATCTCCTAACATATGGAAATCATCTGTCTGACAACAGAATTAAAACACATTTGTCTAAAACTATCAGGCTTTCGTGCCCAGAACATTGGAGTACTTATAGGAACACGTGAATGGATTGTCTCTATTGCAGATTCAGATGATGGCATTGCTAATCTTTGCTCACCTGCAAGTTAGCATGGTGCTAGCAAGAATGTAAAATTTGCTGGATCATCTTAAGCCCATAAAAATAGAGTTAGACCAAATTATTGAAGGGTTCTTTGTTTATTCTACATTTGTTTACAAAAGTGAAGTGAGGAAATATTATTTTTTTTTTAATTTAACGCTCGGAAAGTTCATCTAGTGACAAATAGACAATTTTCAAGCTGATGAACTTCACTGATCTTAAACAAGAAAGGTGTCCTTTTGAAGGGAAGTTGGTAGGGCATTTCTGAAGTTTTCTTTCACTCGAGCACAAACGTTTGTATTAAAATTTGTTACTGTTTTGAAAATATGAAATAAACAAAACCAGCTTTTCAGCACCTCTATCATGTAGTTAATTGTTGGCTTATACAAAGCAATGCTGCCCCCTCTTGGGAAAAATCAGTACTGCATACACAATAGAAACAGGGCATGCTGGCTGTCATATAGCATCTCAAAGTAATTCTGTACTTTTATACCTATTTTATTTACATTTGCGGTGTATTTTTGTGTTCCTGGTATATATTCGTTTACTATTTCTATGTTGCAAACACAACCAATAGGATTGTGCCCATGAGCCGCGCTGACCAATTAGAATCGAGGAGGCGTGACTTCCTGTTTGGATGTCATGTGACCAAATTAGAATCGTATGATGTGAGATTTCCTGTTCTGACTGCACGGAAACCACATAGTTCCGTTTTTTATGGTCCGAGGATGATCAAATCGTAAGTTAATGGTGTGTAAACGTTTATGTTGATGTGTTAGCCATTAGCTTATCTCTGGTCGGCTAAACGTGTGCTTGTTTTCTGTTGTTTATTTTGGAAAGGCTCATTTGAGTCAGGACTTAGCAATAAAAGTTTGAATTAACTTTTTGTAACCAAGCTAGGAATGATTGAGACTATCAGTGACACACGTAGAAACAGTTTTTATTTTCACCTTTCTCTGGGAAACGGTGCTTGCTAACATTTTATCGGTAGCGTTGCTAGCTTATGTAGCATTTCTAATAATAGCAATTGAGTTAATTGAATCGTGAAAGTATGCGGGGCTGTGTTTGGTTAACAGCTTTACAGGTGATTCACACCTCATGCTTACATCTGCAGGTGAGACTCTCAAACGTTCCTGTGACGTCATGGATCCTGAGCAGACCAGACCTCTTCCCCAGCCCAGTGCAGAGTACTTCTCCTGGGACTACCGCCTCCAGCTCATCGGGCTAGGGTTTGGCTTCTATACTGCAGTGTTCCTCCTTTCCCACCTCCTGTCCGTGATTTCATCCTGCACCTACAATTCCCTCCAAGCCAAGGAGAAAGTCTTCTGGGACCTGGCAGCCACTCGGGCAGTATTTGGCATCCAGAGCTCTGTAGCCGGACTCCGGGCTCTGACCGAGGAGTCTGCGTTGAACACAGACAGAGCAAGGGGCCAAGAGGACTGGTCGTGGTTTCACGTCCTCACAGCCACGGGCTTTTTCGTGTTTGAGAACATAGCACTTCATACATCGAATGTGATGTTTCGGTCGTTCGACCTCCCTCTGGCAACGCATCACTTCTTTGCCCTGTCAGGATTCGCAGGGGCGGTGGTGTGGGACTCCCAGGGTCACTTCCTGGGCATGGTTACGCTTCTTCTGGAGATAAGTACACCTTTCACCTGTATATCCTGGATGTTACTCAAGGTAGGGGCCTTAATTTACTTGCTCTTTTAGTTTAGTGTGTGATAAAAGAGCACGCACCTGCACTTTTTCATTTCTCTTTTTTATTCCAAGTCTCATCATTGCAACCTGAACAAAGGTAGTGTTCATAAAACAAGGGTGTTTAACTTAAAACTGCCTAAAATTTCTCCTGTTAGATCGCTCACTCGGATGTGAATTTACAACCAAGTGATTTTATTTATGTGTCTTTCCCTTTTCCCTGAAAGGCTGGCTGGGCTCACACTCTGTTCTGGAGAGCCAACCAGTGGGTGATGATCCACATGTTCCACTGCCGCATGGTGCTCACCTATTACATGTGGTGGGTGTCAGCGACCCACTGGAAGGAGATCAACACCCACGTGGCCCTGCCCCAGCGCCTGATCTTCTTCTCGGGACTCACGCTGCTCACGTTCATTCTCAACCCTGTTTGGACGCACAAGAAGACCATGCAGCTGCTAAATCCTGTGGACTGGAACTTCAGCAGCAAGCCGGCATCGCTGAATGGTGCCACAGGGGATCGGTCTGGGCTTTCTTCTAAACAGCACGTTAACTGAGGTGCAGCAAAAAAGTATTTTTTTGTTGTGCAGCACCATAAAAGCACAGACTTCCAGCACCATGTTGCCAACAGACAATTTTATTTACATTGGACAAAAATAGAGTTTTTATTTCTACTCAAATTCTTCATTAATTGGAGGAAAAAACTGGTTTAACAATGGGAAACAAACTCGGGATTTCTTGAACTTGATTTCTCACTGTTGCTTGTTTGTTACTTTCCAGGTTTAAGGGTAATCATCTCAGTAAAATCTGATGGTTTGTGCTTTCATTTAGACTAAACGATTTTATTTTGGGGGGAAGAAACCCAGAAAATCTTGTTTTCATCACAGTAAGAATCTGATGTTGTTGTTTTATCTTCGGATCTAATTTACTAGTAAATTTAATTAATTTACTACTAGGGATGTCCCGATCAGGTTTTTTTGCCCTCGAGTCCAAGTCATTTGATTTTGAGAATCTGCCGAGTCCCGGTCCGATACTTTTGATACATAAAAAAATAAGAAAAGGAAGAAACCGTTCCAGAATGTTCCTTTTTTTTAATTTAATTACCTTTTTATTTTAATTTTTAACAGCAGATCCCTACTGTGAGGTAGCTTGAACAATCAAGTGATAAATAACATAAATTCTTCACTTTTGGACTTTATTGCAAATATAAAAAGTCTAATATAAAAACGGATAGCACTTCAACTTAAAATAACTGGCAGGGGTCTATTTTGCCTCGGCTCCCAAAATGCTTAGATACGTCCCTGAGCATGGGACGGAGTTTTGAAGATGATCTGAATTGTATCAACTATATAAATACTACATGCTGATAAATTATTGCTTTATACAGGTACAAACGTGTAGTGGGATCAGTCTACCTACATTTAATTTTTTTAAGAACTTTGTTTTGTTTTCTTGTTTTTTATTTTCCGATCTTCCTGTCCTGTCTGTCTCTGATCTTCCTGCATCTCCCAGTCCTCCAGAAAAACTCCTGCCTGCTTCCTTCTTTTTCACCTCACAACTAACTTTTTAACTAGCAGATCAAATTGATCTATTGACCGCAAAAAAAGCGGAGTGTGCGCCGCGCTGCCCGGCTGCGCCTGTGGCGAGCGCGTCCACACGTCATGCTCAAGTACAGACAGAACTTACCAGAGAGAAAATGAACGGACACGAACGACTGCGTTAATTATATATTTTTTGGTGACGCCACTTAGAAACTTAGAAAATGTTACTGTGGCCATGCAGAACGCAGCTCATGAATGATCAGAGGTCTGCCTGCTGCTCTGCATCTTTGCTCTAAAGAATCCCCGCTACTCTGAGTCCATGCATGGACGTAATTTTGGGGGGGACAGGGGGGACATGTCCCCCCCACTTTTTCCAAAGTCAAGTTTTGACCCCTGCACTTTTTACCATCCAGAAACAATATTACTTTATATTAAATTGACACTGGTTGAGCTCTAGGACCAAGCAGAAAACAACCTTTTGTGTTGAAGCCTGTTTCCTATTAGAACATACTGTAAAGATACCCCTCCCACCACCACCCCCGTGCCCCCCCCCCTTCTTCTAAAGTGAAAATTGTTTACCTATAGAATGGATGAATGAGAGTACAATGCGTGCTTCATTTAGTGAAATTTGCATAAATTGTACTTTTAAAAAGAGTTTTTCGAACAAATAAAATTTGTGTGGTTTGAGAAAAGCAACAGTCAATGCTGTAAAATAAAAGATGTTCTCACCTTTTGCTTGAGGTTCATAACGTTGAAGGCTGTATTATGCATCACTGTCCTCTAGGTGGCAGCACAGGCCGCATCATTGGACATGTGATAGTTTGTTTTAATTCACAGCTTATTTAATCGGTTTATTTTAAATGCAAACATCTCCGTGCAGCTGATGTGTCAGGCTTATTTGAATACACACGTGAAACTGTTAAAGTGTTTGAGAATTACTGTTTGTTTAAGGAGAAAAATATAAACTGTTCATGTCTGCGTGACTCCGGTTCGCCTTCAAAAACAACCACGAAGAAGAAAAACTAGCTGTTTAAACTCCAGTTAAAACAAATAAGTGAAAATAAACCACTAAGTAACACCAATGAAACATTTAATAGAGTTTTATTTAAAGTTTTAATACTACTGACACACAGCTGTGTCTACGTCACGTGATCGGTTCTGCTGGAACTCCTCTGACCGCTGCTGCATGGCTGCATCCTACCGGAGAAGACTTGGGATTGTTGATTGACATCCCGTTCAGCCAATCAGAGCTTCCCTAAGATCACCTGTTGACCAATCAGCGTCTGAAGTGAGGTGACGGTTTTTTTCTTTCCATGGATGGAATCTGCTTACATATCTGAGGAAGCCAAGAAGGACGACAACTGAATGTTTTGATGTGTGAACTTGGAAATGTGTCCGTTTTGAAACATTGAGTCATATTTGAAGGAATACAACGACGTAACCATTGAAACCCATTGAAGTGGTGAGTTGGAGACTTCTTTTTAAACTTTCTAACACAGTTTTAGTAACACTTTACATCTTCTAACGAGCCGCAACATTGTTTCTAGTCATTGTAAATGAGAAATATAAAGTAAATTTAGCCTTAAATAACGACTTTAGTCTTTTTCTACATTTTAAAACAGTTCTGAGAGTTGACTGTAACGTGGCGCCTAGCTAACAAAGTGATGTAGCCACCAACTGGGCTGTTTTCAGGCTTGGACTTGTTACAAATCACTGCAACCGATAGTGTTGACAACGATACAACTCCTGTTGAACAATTGATATAAGTAACTGTTGACTTTCAGAACCCAGTAATGAATATTTAATTATTAAAATAAACACTAACATCTTATAGAAATGTCATAATCTCTTTGGGAATATTGTTCATTTAAAGTTAAATCCAATGTGCTCGACTACAAATCCATCTAGTCATGCATAGCATTCCTGAGTGAGGGCACTGCACAGATTTAGTCAGCTGGAATATCAAATGGGTCAAAAAGGCCCTTATTTGATTTCACTGTACTAGTTGTCTCTGCGCAGCAGAATTTAAGTGTCTGCAGGGAAGCTTTAAGGTTTTCTGAGCCACCAGGAAGAGGGTAAAACACAGAGTTCTTTGATCTTGATTTGTGATTTCTAGTGGCATGTGTGTCCATCTCATTCTGCTAGTGCAATGGTGAGCTAACACACACTCATGCAAGTGCACAGAAGTCTATGTGAGCAATTTGTTTAACAAACAAGTAGGGTGGCCTGGCTGCAAACACCTCCTCTGTCTTTAATAACACTTGAAGGGAAAGGCCGTGCAGGAGCAGGGATTACTATTTTATGCTCAGCTGCTTAATCCAAGTTTAATTGGCATAAATTCATCTCTCTTGAGACACCTTTGGTTGCTGCACTCTGAAAACGGTTGTCATTTTTTGGAGTTGCTAAATTTGGTGAAAAAATTCTTTGTGTACCGTGACCTAAATAATTAGCAGTTTAGGATTCCAGGGGTTTTTAGAACGCCTTAAATCCTTTAAAAAAAGACAAGGATTAGCTAAATATTCAAGGAGCAGCTGGGACAGAAAACCCACTGCTTTTCTGCAGGTGGATGTGAAAGGTGACATACAACACACCTGTTAGCAGCTGGGAACGTATTTATAATTAGATCCAATAGTAGCCTAAAAATGATGGTTAAATTCTATAAACTAGCCCTCACCCATGCTACCTCCTGTTATTTAGTTGCTTTTATTAGTACCGTAAACCACTCTCCTAGCAGGAGAAGAGGCTGATGGCAGATCTGGCTTCAGAAGGTTTCCTCCACCCTTTTGAAGTGGGTTTAAACGCAGAGAGTGAGCGCGGGAGTTCTGCAGTTTCCTTTCCTGTAATCACTGATGTGACAGAGTAGCTCCATTCATATTAAAATTCCTCCCGTCCACAAAAGCTCTTGGGAGCAGCTGCGTGTCCAGAGATCAGCACACCCTCACCAGTGTTCCTCTGGTGACATGTTGGGCTCTAAATGCTTTTGTGTGGCTGACTGGGCAGGCGGAGACCAGTTGGAAGTGACGGCCAAGATTGTTCAGTGTGAGCTTTCAAATAAACACCGCTTTGGATTTATTGTGCAGCTCCTGGCGTTCATTCCTGACGATGGTTTGTGTCATTTGAAGAGTAAGTTGAAGCCAGCGTTTTACACAATGCCACTGTGTTTGTTGCTAAATCCAGATGTCCTCTCGCATGGTTAATCAATCCAACCTCTGAACTCAGATAGCCACCCTCTGGGCCTCGTTACTGGAGTGTTTACTCTAATTAAAGCTGGTAGCGCATCATCTTTATCATTTGTTCTTCCATGAGTCAAAACTCTCTAAAATGCCAGCAATCCTGGGCCTGCGTCTCAGCCTCCTCCACCCAGTTTGAGGTCAGAGGGTGGTGCCGTGTGCAGTGTTGGCCCAGATACCCGGTACTGCGTTCCATTTTGTGTGAGACTCGGAGCATTTTTAGCTTTCCCAGTCATTTTTCCACCATGCTGTTTGGCATCACCGAGTCAGAAACGTGCCGACCAACCGCAACACTGTAAAGCAGTTTATCATTTATCACCAGAGATGTAGTTTTTCCTCCTTTTGCGCCACACATCTTCTTGATCAACCTGCTTGAAAGAAAAACTGTGATTGGTTGAGCAGTGGCAAAGGCTTATTACCTGTAAAATGAGTAAAACCACAAGTGAAACCAGTTTTAGAGTCGTAAAACTCTAATCATGAAGATAGAAATTAACTGCTGTACTCTTTTCCCCTCAGTAATCTATTACAGTACTTTTAAGTCTGTTTTTCCTCACTTTGGAACAGGATCTCCTGTACCAGTTGGAGGCCTGATTAGTATAATCGTGGCAGAGAGACACTCCGCCAAACAAAACACCAACCTAAAGAACCGCTGTGTGTGTGTGTGTGTGTGTGTGTGTGTGTGTGTGTGTGTGTGTGTGTGTGTGTGTGTGTGTGTGTGTGTGTGTGTGTGTGTGTGTGTGTGTGTGTGTGTGTGTGTGTGTGTGTGTGTGTGTGTGTGTGTGTGTGTGTGTGTGTGTGTGTGTGTGTGTGTGTGTGTGTGTGTGTGTGTGTGTGTGTGTGTGTGTGTGTGTGTGTGTCCTCACAAAACCTGAAATGTCCAGAATTCACATTTTAAGCTGCTTTTGACCAGTTTATGCCATCATGTGACAATGCTGTCTAGTGATTAAATGGCCTGTATTTGATCTAGTGCCTTCTAGAGTCCTGGAACCCCCCAAGGCACTTTACAACACAATCAGTCACTTACACCCTGGTGGGGATGAACTACATTGTAGCCACCGCTGTCTTGGGGCACACTGACGGAGGCGAGTCTGCCGTACACAGGTGCTACCGGTCCATCTGAACATCACCAGATTGAAACCTCGAAGAAACGAAGAGACCAAATGTCCTTTTATTATACAATCAGTATAGAATCACATTACAATTTCCCTTGAAGAAATATTTCTGTAACATAGAATTTAAAAGGATACCAGGTAGTTTAGCTTGCTTTTAGCACCCTCTAATCCTCTGCTTTATGTTTATGTATTTAGCAGACGCTTTTGTCCAAAGCGACTTACAAGTGATAATCGGCATGTTGCCCTTGAGGCTAACAACAACAGTAACAACAACTTGATATCAATCATGGAGAGGAGGGAACAAGGAGTGGGCAGTAGAGAGGGGGGGCAGGTGCAGGGAGGGTGCTACTTAAGAAGATGCTCTCTGAAGAGCAGGGTCTTCAGGAGTTTCTTGAAAATTGAAAAGGAAGCCCCTGTTCTGGTAGTGCTTGGTAGGTCATTCCACATTTGTGGAATGATGCATGAGAAGAGTCTGGATTGTCCTGAGCGTGGTGTAGGCACTGCTAGCTGACGATCCTGTGATGACCGGAGCGGCCGGGCCGAGACGTAAGCCTTTACAAGAGGATTCAGGTAGATGAGAGCCGTACCATCTCGGACTTTGTATGCTAGTGTTAGCAATTTGAATTTGATGCGTGCTGCTAGCGGTAGCCAGTGGAGCTCAATGAACAGAGGGGTGACGTGTGCTCTTTTTTGGCTGATTGAAGACCAGACGCTGCGTTCTGGACCATTTGAAGAGGTCTCACAGTACAGGCTGGAAGACCAGTTAGAAGGACATTGCAGTAATCGAGGCAGGAGATGACAGTAGATTGCACCAGGAGCTGGGTGGCATGTTGTTAGGTATGGTCTGATCTTTCGTATGTTGTACAGCGCAAAGCGGCATGAACAAGCAACAAAGGCAACATGATCTTTAAAGGTCAGGTGTTCTTCAATCACAACACACAGATTTCGAACTGCCTTTGAAGGAGCCAGAGATGGGAAGTCATTTTGGATTGAGATATTGTGCTGTACGGATGGTTTTGCTGGGATGACAAGTAGTTCAGTTTTAGAGAGGTTGAGTTGGAGATGGTGGGATTTCATCCATTTTGATATGTCAGAGAGACAGTTTGATATTCTTGCAGAGACAGTTTGGTCGTCCGGTGGAAATGACAGATAGAGCTGGGTGTCGTCTGCATAGCAGTGGTAGGAGAAGCCATGTGATCGAATGATCTCACCCAGTGAGGTGGTGTATATGGCTAAGAGAAGAGATCCTAGTACAGAGCCCTGGGGGACTCCTGTGGCAAGATGGTGCACGTTAGAGGATTGTTCAAGCCAAGATACACTGAATGATCGTCCTGTGAGGTACGATTCAAACCAGGAGTGTGCTTTTGCTGTGATGCCCATGCTAGAGAGTGTGGACAAAAGGAAGCTATGGCTGACAGTGTCAAATGCAGCCGATAAGTCGAGCAGGATAAGCACTGAGCATCTGGCTGTCGCTCTAGCTCGCTTTACTGGACAAGATGGGCTGACAGCGCTGCCATTAAAGCAGAGAAGAGCTGCGATATGAGCCCTGATGTCTAGCCAAGTTGTAGGATGTAAAAAAGTGTATTTTTTTAGGAGTGTGGATGTTTGGAAATGAGATTTAAATGAAAAATTAATGCTGAGCCACAGGACACAGGAAGTCTAAACTGAAAAAGACTGGATATTTTATGCATTTCAAAAACTGAGTTTTGCCCTCCATTCGCCACTTACTTGTACTAAACTGTGGTACAAAATGTATTCAGCCTTTGCAGTAACAGTGCTCATCAATCAGAAGGCATCACGTAAAAAGAGCATGTTATGTTTGCACCACATATAGTGTGTGTGTGTGTGTGTGTGTGTGTGTGTGTGTGTGTGTGTGTGTGTGTGTGCGTGTGCGTGTGCGTGTGCGCGCGTGTGTGCGTAAGCGCAGCCTTCAGAGCATGTAATGACCTGCTCAGCTGAGCCCATCATCAACTGGGAGGATGACTTTACCTTTCTGGTCTCCTGTTCTTCATCCCCAACTATTGCTCTCTGATTAGATCGTCGTCCAGAACCTTTCATTTAAAGACTAAGCAGAGGGATGATGAATTCTTGGCCTGTTGGTAAGAGTTTGTTATGTACTCGGCTGTTCTCCGTTTACGCGTGCTGCTGTTTACAGCCCTGCTCTGACAGGCCACAGATGTGAGGAATGTACTTGTTGAGTTGGTCATCCCTACACAATGAGCCTGATGACAGTTTGGTCTTCGCTGCAGTTGAAGTCACACCATAACAAGCTGTGCAGTGTATAATTTGTGTCTTCTAAAGGTGATTTAAAAGGACGTTGTCTTCACCGTATTGATTGTGAATGTCTTTGAACAGTTTGTCAGGTTGCCACCTATTTCATAAACGCATATCTCTTTTCGATTCGATAACTTCACGATGGATTCATTGACGCACAATAGTGTAACGGTGCGGCTGCTCCTGTCTGCCTCTGTGGACTCCTAGTATCACACAGGAAAATATCTCCTCAGGCAGTGTGTCCTCGCCCTGTTTCTGTTGGCTGTGCTCACCAGACACTGGCCCCTTATGTTCATACGCTCTGCTCTGGCATCGTGCCACAAGAGTAGGACCGAGGACAAAGAGGCAGAGGATTTCATGTTTTTTATAGACAAAACAATCTTTGAGTCCCAGAACGAGCTGTCGTTCTTGTTCACAACTCATCCGTGGATCTGTCTTTGTCAGATACAGGCTGATGGTGAATCAGTGTTGTGTCTTGTGGTATTGCATTGCACGTATGGACTGTTGGGTGTACAAACTGCAACAGTGGTTGCTCTGTGCGGCTGCATGATGTCATGACTTTGTCATTGGTTTGTGAGAACATTAGTATTCTGAAGAGGTTGCTTTTTCCGTTTTTAACCCAGGGAGACGGAAACTCACCTGTTGATAGGAGATGTACATCAGGAAACCAAAGTCGGTGTTGGTGGGGAATGTGAATGTGTCTCATGCCTGTGCAAGACCAAAGGTCTCTCCTGCCTCAGCATGCTGGCTGTATTTCCTCAGGTCCAAATGAGCGGTTTCAGTGAAGTAAAAATGTGACCAGACCCTCCTTAGGGAGTAGGGGTACATCTGATGTCAGTACAACAGTCAAGTTAATATTTAAATGTAAATTTAATTAGAATGAAAAAATTATTTTATCAATGCAGCCCCCCCACCCAACCTTATTTACTGAGTCACCACTCAGCAGAAGGCAGTTTATCCAATGAACAAGCTTGTTTGGAGTTGCATCAAGATGGCCTGCAAAAGCGTATTCTACAGTTGAAATCTCCGCAAGTGCTGCCGGGTGCTGGTGCAGGTTCTGCTGGGCGCTGGCGTAGCTGGGTGCAGGTTCTGCTGGGCGCTGGTGCTGCCGGGTGCTGGTGCAGGTTCTGCTGGGCGCTGGCGTAGCTGGGTGCAGGTTCTGCTGGGCGCTGGTGCTGCCGGGTGCTCATGCTAGACAAACTACATTTACCAATTGCAAAAAAAAGCAAGGACAGAGCACTCGGACGTTGATTAAAAACAATCCGACCGAAACAAAATTCAAACGTTTATGCTGTTATTTTTTTACTCTTAGGTTATTTGTGTCACTTGGTTTATTTGTGTACTTTTTACATACCACCCACCTCTGGTCAAAAGCCTTTTTTGTCCATGTTTGCACGCTGTTTAACCGAGACGTGCAGCTGGACTTGTTCATTTCCATTGCTGCCTCCTGGATAACTCCACATCTGTGTTGTTGGTACCGGCTCCTCATTCTCAGATGTAGGAATTCTCCCACCTGCAAAGTCTGCTCTTCCACATAAACACTGCAACCGCCCTGCTTTTTCGGTCTTTAGCTTGACCCGTTTCCCTCTCCAACTGTTTTATTTGGTCACGGACCTTAACTGGCTTTGGAAAATAGATAAAAAAAAAATGTCCCCTCTGACATTCAGTCTGCGTATCAAGACTCCAATTAGCACCTCCCCCAACAGTGGTCCTTGGTTTTTGTACATATTTAGAAGATAAAACCACAACTTTGAGATGAGTAGAGCGACTCAGACCCGTAGACATCCATGCAAAATACACGCTTGCTTGTCTTGGGCTACATCAGACAGTGAATTGCAGCGTTGCATCACAATCTATTTTTAGCTGCTTCATTTGTCTTGATTAGATGTTTAGATGTTGAGGTAAAAAAAAAACCACATGGCCGTTTCTCTACTTGTGTGCATTTTTCTGATTCACAGGGACTGAATTATCTCCCCCCCCCCCCCTCCCCCCAAAAAATAAAAAATGAATGTGTGAATAACGGATGTGCTTTTATTGTTTTGTTTTTAGGAATGTGTGCTGGCGTAGTTGGTCCTCTGTGTGTTTTTGGAGCTCGTTCAGGAGAAGAGAAGCTAACATGGACATGGAAGACTTCCCTCCCCCTCCTCCTGAAAGTAAAGTCAACAAATCCTTATCAACATGTAACGTACACATTCCCATTCACACCATGCAGCGTGATGGGCCCTGAGGTCAGCAGGGGCCGGTTAGCTCAGTTGGTTAGAGCGTGGTGCTAATAACGCCAAGGTCGCGGGTTCGATCCCCGTACGGGCCATGTGTTTTGACAGACAGAAACAGATGAGGGCTCAGCAACGCTCACACATCCACCCCACGTGAGCTGCAGCTTTGCCGTACCTCTCATAGTTTTCCACTTAGTAGATTTAGACGTTGTTATGCTTTGCTTCAATTAAATGTGTAAGTCCTTCTGTGTAAACACCACCACCATCAGGAGATGCCTGCAGCAACTGCATCTAGCCACACAATGTGATTTTTAGGTTTGATTAAATAAGAAGCTGAAAACTGATCAGTCGCTGCTTGTCACACAGAATTACCCACTAGCTGCTGTAGAGTCCTGCACGGACGGTGGTTTTCAGGAGTCTCTCTAAAGCTGGACAGCGAGAGTAAACAACAGATTCCTCTCTGCCGCTGTGAAGTGTGTGGGCTGAGTAATGACAAGAATCAGGAGACTAAAATGTGCTGCGCTTCTGTGAATACCAGACAGTGTGCCTCAGTGCTAGGCTGCTACACACACACACACACATACACACACACACACAGCGTCTGGGACAGGGACAGGCCAGAAAAGTGCTTTCTGTCCAGCTGGTCAGTCACTTGCTTTGTTGCCGGGGGGGATGCAGGAGCGGATTGTGACCTGCTGACTCATTTGAGCGGATCCCGATATTCACGGTGGAGATTAGTCCTGGGAACAGAATTGACACTGTTGCATGAATTGACAATGGCTACCATGTCTTTTCTGTGCATCACATTTGCATGCATGTTTTTGTCCGGTCATCACGTTTGATTGTTGGAGCTGAAGATCATTTTCACTTTTGCACTGGGAGCAGCTAGGAGACGTTGTGCAGGTTAGACGTGTATGTGTGTTGTTAAGCTGACATTATTCACGTTATTTTAAATCCCAGCAGTTTGAAGTCAAAACACACTTCATGATTATGAATCCTGCCATTTTGGAGCTCTGTGGGGTGAACCTTGCTTTATTGCTGTGTTCCAAACTGATTAAACCACAGATGGAAACGAGGCGGATAGCATCTCTGTTTCCAGATTTCCGCTTTGCCCCTCTTTTTTTCTCGCTCCATCAGTCATGGGTGCAGATGGAAATGCGATCGCGGTGCCGACCTGGTACTTTGGTCACGGGCTGCGTTCTCACACTGACGGGAGGGGTTGAGCCGCTGCCTGTCAGAGCCTGAGGGAGTCGTGTCGAGGATTTAAGGCCACTAGGAACTTTAAGACATTGTTTCTTTCTGCTGAGTTTAATTTTATAAATCTTGGTTCCCCGCTCATGTAAAACTGTGGAAAATGAGTTCAAAAGCTAAACCTTTATTAGATGAATAATTTTGTTCAAAGCAAAATGTGTTGTTCAAGCCGCATTAGGCTAACTGAATTAATGTTACAGCAATTTTAGTGGGTGGTTAAAAATGCCGAAACCCGGGATCGAACCAGGGACCTTTAGATCTTCAGTCTAACGCTCTCCCAACTGAGCTATTTCGGCACGCCTCCTCCATGGCCTATCACCTTTCCTGGGTGAGGAAATGAGATTATTTAAAGCTGTTTTTTCTGTTTTCCTTGGGGGTGAAGTCAGGATATTAGTGACAGATTATATAAAACTGTAGACTGAAGGTCTATCGTGGTCAGGCTGTTCTGGTCATGATCGCGCTCCAAAGAATCTCTGGAATGGAGACCTAAATGTGTTTCTTTTAAAACAAGCAAAAGCATAGATGAGGCAAGAACCTCTATTAACTCTTGCAGATTTTATATTGAATTCTTAGTTTTAGCCTTTTAAACGCATCAAAACCAGCTTTCTGGGAAGCAACAGAAGCAGATTTAGGAGTTGAGCCGGTTTGTTCCAACTCGTTTTTGGATTCTTGTGCCTTCTTGTGTCAAACCGACTCTTTAATCATTAGCTCAGAAGTAACAGCATAGCTGTACTCGTCAGTCAGGGAGTAGCGGCTCTCTTTCCTTCTGGCCTAATTGCAGAGTGGAAGCTGGAAACATATTTCTTGTTTCCTTCCTGCCTGCTGCTGAGTGAGAGAGTGAGTCCTCTAGAGTGGACGTGACTCCTTTGAGGGAGGCAGAAACTACGTCACTAAACTGTGTCTGGTATAAAATCAGATGTTTTATTTGGTGAAAACTTTCTGCTAACATACTCGCTGCTGTGCTTAAAGTGGCATTGTGTATTTTTCCTGGCGATGGGGGGGCAGTAGATCTCTAAATCGTTGCAAGCAAGCAGTAATTTTGTGTTGGAATACGACCTTACCAATGGATGCCCATTAGGGTCAAAAAGCCCTGGGGAGTGAAAACTTTAGCAACAAGCACATCGGACTCCCTTTCATCAGTGCATTTAAGAAAGACGAAAGTTTTGTAACCATTTGTTTCAAATCAGTAAATGCGTTTTGTCCTCATGAGCTCCCATAGAAGGAAACGTGGAATCTAATATGGCGTCGCCGAGAGACTTGACCCGTTCCCATGTATTTTAGACCTGATGATATGGTTATGGTAAATTCTTCCGGCTCTTGGAGAGGACAGACACTTTTTTCCTCCTCTCCTCCCCATCTTATCCCCAAGGCTCTTTGTCTGTCTTTGGGTGTACGGAGCTTCTTCATTTTTTCTGGAAACTGGAAATTATTAAAAATGGACCTGGTCAGCTGGTCACTCAACGTGATTGACAAAATTTTCTCAGCGATGAGAACGGGAGAAGGGGTTCCCGGGTGCCCCTCTGGGACAGATCTAGTTGGGCACATTATGGACTCCTGGAAACAGTGGAACCTGATTTGCCTATCTCAGCTGTCTGTAGAGGATTCTGAAGACGTCTGGATATTCGTGGCGGTGGTGTCAGGTTTCCTGCTCTTTGGCCTTGGAGGTTACATGACTTACCGGAAAATTAATGAGCTGTCGAGGAATATTGGAGCTCTCCCCGAGCTCAGAGATGGATTGCACCGCGCTGTGAATTCACAGACTCATATAATTGTCGAGATGAGTCGTAAGCTTGGAACTTTGGCTGAGATTCATGCGTTGGCACAAAAGATGGATGTGATCATGGAGCAAGTGGACGAATCAGCATGGATTGGGATAGATTAATTTACGCCATTTTGATTTTGAGAGGTTGAGGACCAGCGTAACTTTAAGACAGAGAAGAAATTATCTGTCTGGCCCCAAAACAATTTCTTATCTGAATCTGGTGCCCTTGAGCCTGTGAGGCTAAAGCGATAACCCCCCCCCCCCCCCCCCCCCAATCAAGAAATGTGGAATGCTGTTGTTGCCTGGGCGGGACTGCGACCGGTGAAGGCCGTTGAATCATTCCAGGAGTCACTGTGCTCTGTAAACCCAACGACCTCTCACCCCTTTCTGGACTGAGGTGAAGAGCGCTGCTTATCGCGGCTGCTGCTGCTGATGTGTGGAGAGTCCCAAAACCCTACCACCCCACCTAGTGGACACTTATGTTGTGTAATGTCTGAAGTCTGTTGCATTTCTGTCTGAGGTGTTTTTTTTTTTTGCATAGCAAAGCTGCCCTCCCTGTGGAGGGTAATTCTGAAGTGCCTTTTTTTCCCCTCCACCTGATCCAATCCTCATGTAACCCTCTTATCTCTATTAAGGTAGCGCGAATCGGGTTGCGAATGACCACAGTCACCAATTCTTGTCATGTGTCTTTGCCTATGTATGTATGTCTGATCTCACAATTGTGTGTACTGAAACTCTAATTTCCCTCTGGGATTAATAAAGTATCTTTGAATTTGAATTGAATTGAATTATGTTACGAAGCCGCTAATGTTTTTCAACAACTGGGCATCATTTCATTCATTTTCAACAACATTTTGACTGATACTTCAAGAAATTAATGGTAAAAACCATACGCAGTCTCTCTAAACAAAGGTCTGTTAAAGGCATACTTTGCAACTTTTTCATATTTTTTTAATTCATTTTCTTGAGCCAGTATGTGCTAAAATGACCCTTTACAGGGTTAATGAAATGCCACCCAGACTCTATCGCCCCATGTGGCCAGAAAATCGCAGGCCACTCTGTTGGGACTTAGAAAAAATGGAGCTGACATACCTGGTGCTGCAGTCTGCTTCCAGCCCGATTCCTGCATGTTTTAGATCATGGACACAGCTGATGTGTTAAATTTAGTGATTAATCACTCCTGTAGACACTTTTCAGCTGTTAGATTACAGTGTTAAGGAGATCGGTTTAGGTTCTACAAATGGACACTAGGGGGTGCTAAAAGCAAGCCGAAACTGCCTAGTTCCCCTTAAAAAGTGGAGATTGGAGTCAATGCTTACAACTTTTATTTGTTAACTGGCATGAGCTAATACACTTATTTACTAGAACTAATTTTACAGTAGGATACATCCGTAGATATCAAGGTAGGAATTCTAGATATCCAGTCTCAGGAATGGGGAGTTTGATGATATGATGCTGCTGCCAAGTAAAAAAAAAAAAAGAGAGAGAGAGAGACTTTTCTGGTGTGTCTTTGCATGTCGCCTTTGTGTTTTCACCACTATTTTTATTTAGTTTTTAGTTTTGATATTCTTCAGTTAGATTTCTCATTTACACTCATTTGTATTGATTTCGTGTAAATAAATTTTTATGATCTTGGAACGTATCTGCTTAATAAATCCTCTAAAACGTTTTTGTCGACTACAGTTGGGTGATTTTATCAATGAGCTCTTTGACGATCGTTTATTCATGAGTGATACATATATCTTAAATCATAATCTCACACGCAAGACATCACAAACATCCACTTAAAATCAGCATCTTTATTGCAAGACTCTCATATTACACATCATCAGAAAGCAAAGATTATTGTGATTATAACGACACGCTAACGCATGCTGATCAAGCCAACGCTTTTGTCCAGTCGCTCAGAAATTCAAAATAATATGCAACTCCAACGGTTCAAAGCCTCATGTCATTGCCAGAAAAGTGCCATCTTGAACAAAAATGGTAATTTTACATCCACAAGGGTCCAATTAAAGTTCTCCAATAACTAGTCTGACCACAACTCTTCCATTTAAAATCCAACGTAAAAAATAGCTGAAAAGATTAAAAATTTCCTTCCGATCGGTCTTTTTGTCAGCATAACCTCAGTCTACATCCTTAAAGAGCAAATTGCAGGTTACATTTTTTTTTCTAATTCATATAAAATGCTGTCCAAAAAACACTATTTGAGAAACTTATTGTGGATATTTCATTTTAAAATGCACAACGGCAGCTTCAACTTTTTAATCGGCATCTCACCTGACCCCCCTCCAGCTACTGGCCTATAGGCTGATCTCTGATCTCTGATCTGGTCTCACGTTTAGCTTGAACCATTGTGGCACTTTTTTTTTCTTCTTCAAGGCACTCGCGGAGTACAGACGCTTCTCTCTTTCGCTCCCTTATCTTTTTTTCCCAAGGCTCTTTGTCCTGTCTGCCCACAGAGCGCTTCTCTGCATTTCTTCTGAAAAACTCTATTTTTACTAACCATGGATTTGATAAATTGGTCATTCAGTGCGATCAATAATATTTTTTCAACAACGAGAACGGTGCTGGGGGCTCCCACATGTCCACAGGGGACACACCCGGTGGGATATATGCTGGATTCCTGGAAGGAGTGGAAGATCATATGCCTGAGCCAGCTGTCCATTGAGGATATCAAAGACGTGCGGATATTCGGCCTGATGATCACTGGATTTCTCCTGATTGGAGTGGGAGGATATCTGGTTTTCTGGAAATTCTGGAAGACGGGAGGAATTGGAGGGTGACCCGTACCCACGGAAAGCACCGTCCGTGTGGAGACTTCTCAGACTGGGACGTTACTCGAGGTGAATCGTAAGCTGGACATTGTCCAAGCTGCGATACCGGTATTAGTGCGCAAAATGGATGTCATCTCGGAGAGAGTCACCGGACGGTATGGACAGGTTTAAAAACCCAAAATTGGCTTCACTGAAGGACTGGAATGATCAGTTTAAAGACTGAAGGTAGAGAGGAAAATTATCTCAGCCTGACCCAAACAAAGTCTTGTTATCTGAAGCTGACGCCCTGGTAGCCTTGAGCGGCAAGCAACAAACCCCCCCCACGAAGGAATGCAGGCAGATGCTGTGACCCCCCCCGCCTTCGGATTGGTAGACTTCAGCCTGGCGAGGTCATCAATCTGCAGGAGTCAATGTGCTCTTTGCTTCTCCCAAGATCTCCCTCCCACCTGTGACTGTACAGTAGATGAGTGCCGTAGATGGCTGCTCTCACTGGTGGAAACAGGATCCCTGCCCCCCCTCCCCGCCTTCCAATGGAGTCTCATGTCATGGTGTGTTGTCTGAAGCCTGTTGCATATTTGTTGAGGTGTTTTTTTGCAGAGCAAAGCTGCCCTCCTGGGGGAGGGTAGCTGTGAAGTGCCTTTTTTTCCCCCTCCACCTGAACCAATCCTCATGCAACCTCATATCTCTATTAAGGTAACGCAACTTGGGTTGCGAATGACTACAGTCACCAATTCTTGTCATGTGTCTTGCCCATGTATGTCTGATCTCTGAATTGTGTGTACTGAAACTCTAATTTCCCTCTGGGATTAATAAAGGATTGATTGATTGATTGATTGACACGTTGGCTATCTGTCCACTGTTGTTGTTGGTGACTTTGTAGCTTGTAAGTGAGGCCGAAAATGTATAAATATGGTCCGTGAAAATGGGCAGCTTGTATCGGCGTAGGCGATAGAAAAAACTGCATCATACCCTACCATACCACTTTATTTGTAGAGCGCTTTCAACACGGCATTACAACTGACCAAAGCGCTGCACATGAAAACAAATGATAAAAAACACAAGCTAAAACAGTCGTGTATCATATGAAGTAAAAAAGATAAGAGTTAAAGGAACAACAGACTAAAACCAATAGAACAAGTAAAACCAGAATATAAAAACACAAATTTAAAATCGAACAAACAAGGTGGAAAAACTAAGGATGAGTTAATGCTTTATGGTTTGGGAGTTGAAGGCCAGGGAGAAGTCGTGGGTTTTCAGGCATGATTTAAAAACGGCAATAGAGGGTGCTTGTCTAACCTGAATAGGTAATGAGTTCCACAATTTTGGGCCACAAACAGAAAAAGCCCTTTCCCCGCGGGTCTTCAAACGTGCCTTAGAGACAGTTAGAAGGAGCTGATCTTCAGACCTAAGAGCACGAGGAGGGTGGTAGTAATGGAGGAGTTCACACAGGTAGGGAGGTGCTTGACTGTTCAAAGATTTGAATGCGAGAAGCTGAATATTGAAATTGATCCTGAACTGAACGGGCAACCAGTGGAGTGATTTAAGAGTGGGTATAATGTGCTTCTGTCAGCTCCAGTCAGGAACCTTGCTGCTGAATTCTGGACAAGCTGGAGTCTAGACAGAGCAGCTTTACTGATGCCGTACAAGCAGGAGTTGGAGTAATCGAGCCGAGAAGTGATGAAGGCGTGAATCAGAGATTGTAGAAGATGGACACTCAGGATGGGCTTTAGTTTAGAAATTCGCCTGAGGTGGTAAAAGCAGGACCTGACTGTGCTATTGACCTGAGCATCCATCTTCAGAACCGGGTCTAGTTTTATTCCAAGGTTGGAAATGGCAGAAGTGACATTAGGAGACAGAGAGTGGAGGTCAGGCTGCTGGGTTGCTCTAACATTGTCGGGACTGAAAACGATTACCTCTGCATCAAGGAATAGTTTGAAGTTCTAGGCAGCATTTTAAACCTTAAACTGATGAAACTGCTAATTAGCATGATCCCTCAACACCTGTGAAACTTCTGTTTCCAGTGTTTGCCGACAGTGACCCGTTCAACGATGAAGATGAAGGAGAAGCCTTTGAGTTTGACGACAGTGGGGATGAAATCCCGGCTCCACCTCTCACCACCGAGGATCAGCAGCAGGAATGTTCTGTGAGCAGCCACAGTGTTCCGGACACTCCAGCACCTCCATCGTCAGCAGACCCTCCAGCTGCCCCAAACGCATCCTCCTCCTCAGCAGCAGCAGCAGCGGCAGCGGCTGAAGGCACATCTGCTCCTGAGGGAGCTAATGACAGGGAGATGGATTTACCACCACCTCCATCTCCTCCTCCTGCTCTCGGTTACGACACACACACGGACCCCAGAACGACAGGTTTGCAAAACAAAAGCTGCGGCTGCAGTGAGAGTGTTTGCTTTAAACTCCGAGCTTGACGAACACGCCCGGTCTGTGTTCAGGTAATGGATAGTTGAACGTAGTGCCTTAAATACAGTACGTTTGTTCTTTTGGGCAGTAGTCTTAAATTCCCCACATTCTTTTCGGCATTCTCTGTTTGCAGTGGTTGGCTCTGAGCCAGCCCTTCAGCTCAGGCTAAAGTTAGGACATAAAGGAGGACGGCCTGTTTTTTATGACACCTTCTTATCTCCAACAGCCTGCTGCAGGACAGCGTCTGTCTTTTATCGCTGGAAGTCCTGGCATTCATTCACTCATTCTGCAGCGCTGCAGTGCAGAAAGGCACCCGATTGCATTGCTTTATTTTAGAGAAAATCCAGAACAAAAACCATGCATGCGTCTCGATTTTTGGTTTTTAAGTTCATACCCCCATCTAAATTAAAACATTTTTAGGTAAATGAATAATCGTTATCATCTGTAGAATCAGAATCTGCCCTCAAACCCAGAATCGGTGCAAGTGTAGCTTTAAAAACACTTAACTGTGGGTTATTAACTAAGTATAATGCTTGTTGTTTTATGGAAAATCCAAACCAGTTCTGTTATATTTAAAGGGACTTTACAGACTTTTGAATTTTTATGCTCGTGATTGCCCCCTCAGGCCAAAAGCGTAACAGCAGCTTCAATAGTAGGCTCGTGCACGAGGCGCGTATGCTGTACGTGCACACTTCTTAACGAAAATAACGGCTGAGACAGTCCCGTGTGTGTGGGGGGGTGGGGTGGGGGTGGGGGGGGTCGGGCGCGGAGAACAGGAGAACACGCATCTAATTAATTAAATAGTTTGGTTCTGTACCTTTCTCTTCAGCACAGCTGACAAAGGTTTATGATGCGTCAGTCCTCCTGCATGCTCAGATCATTCCCTTCCCTTGCTTGAAAAAATGTTCCAAAATGAAAGTTGAACCCACATCTTCTTTTATCTGTGAATTCAATGCCGTTCGGCGAGTCTCAAATAAAAATTTGGGCATCTTACTGTAAAAAAATATACCATTAATGTAAAACAGAAACTCTAAATAAACTATGTTCACAGCCAGAATCGAACCCAGGACCTCTGCATGGAAGTTCGATGTTTTACTAGGTTAGCTGAAGCGCCAGTGGCGTCCTTTGCATCCGTAACATTTATATCCTTGATGACAGCTGAAACAACGTTCAAAGAACGGTTCGGAGCGAAAATGGCTATTTTGTTGATAATTTGCAGAAAATATCTAGGAGAAAGTAGCTAAGGGTCCTCAGAAATGTAGCTAGCTTGGTCACTAGGCGTTAGGAACAGCTAAAGCTACGGCTAGCAAACGCTACGGGCTATGCCTGAGCGTGAACGCGCATGAAGCAGCCTGCTCGACCCGAGCATCTCTCTTTTTCTGTGATTTTACAGAAAAACAGGCAATCACAGTAAAAATGCCAGGGCTCATTCTACAGGACCAGGGCATTGCAGGAGAATGAAGACATTTATTATTTCTATACATGTTTTTTCTGTCAAACTTCCATAATGCCCCTTTAATATGATAATTAAATGAATCTGTATTATTTTATTTCCCTTCAACAGAGCCTCCCCCCCCTCAGGCTTACCCCAGAACCTCCTCCCAGGGTAAAGTCAGCCCCTACTCTGTGATTGACATCACTCCCATACAGCTGCAACACCATGAACAACAATACGGACCCTCCTCATCGTCTTCCTCACCAACGGAGCCAAAGGAGGGTCAGGGTGTCCACGCCGGTTCTCCTGGCGTTACTTCAGGGTACTCTGTGCCCGTGCCTTGTGGCTATGCGACCCCCTCTGGAGTCCCACTCATCACACCGACCTACACCACGCCCGTCATCATTCGACATCTCTCCATGGACGAAGATGGTAAAGTAGAGCCTGGAAGCACTGAAAACAAATAAAGTCCATCTGCTTTTCTTTTCACGCTCAGGTAGTTCTGAGTGAGAGAGAGCTTTAACGCCGTCTCCATCCTCTGTCCTTTCTTCACTGTTTTCCTGAAGCCTCGCTACAAGGAAGTAGAGACTAAATTTAGATCCCCCAAAGATCAGTGTCGGCTGTGAGGATTTTCCGGTTTCCCTGAAATCTTGCAGTCCAAGCTGGTGGAGCGGCAGCACTGTTACTGCCTCGCCCTAGGTCACGCTGTTTTATTTCCCTAAAAGACCTCGGTGTGTTTGTGAAAGTAATGCAGGTTTTCACTTAGCTGTGATAAACCCCAGTTTTGTCACGATGGAAATAAGTTCGTAAAAGAACTTTAAACACATTTTCTTCATGAGCTCATCATTGATATAAAATCAGATCAGTGGGGCCTTTAGCGACACCTGGTGGTGGAAACGCTGTTCTGTTTAAAATCACAGCAGAAGCTTTTTATCTTTTGTTTTAGTGACGGTGGTCGGAACCAGCAACACGTCCGCTGACAGGTGAGTCCCACAGCTTGTCACGTCATAACCACGGCGTTTATCAGCGTAAATGCTAATAAAAGTCGTCTTTTTAGTGTTTTCAGTGAAGAGTGTCCACCTATAACCGAAGAGGATGCTTTGGCTAAATGGGCGTCAGATCCTGCCAACACTGCCTGGATGGAAAGTAAGTGTTAGGGTTTATCTTCTGTTTTCTATTCTTTAACTTTTCTTTTGACACAAGTGAATTCCCAGACACTTCCTTCCTTGTTTCTAGGAGGAAGTGGATCCTTGTGAGGGTGTTTCTCTGAGATTTTTCTTTCTTTGCTTTCTGATAGTTTTGAGAAGAAGCCGTGGATTCATTCATTCATGTCGGTTTTATGTTTCAGATCCAGATGAGGTGATCTACGATGACGTACCCAGAGAGAACTCGGACTCCAACACAGGTTTCTGTATGTTTTCTACTTTTTTAGCAGCTTCCTGTCTTTAACTCGACGTCTGGTAAAACTTCTTGTTTCCATCATCTTCATTTTTCTCCCAAAACCCAGATTATTGCTGTAATTCCTGCAGATACACAACTAGTTTGGACCCTTTTTAAATAATATTTCTGACCATTTAGCAGATTTTCGAACTTGGTTCGAAAATAATTTTACACATACTATCTTCACAAAACAAACCATTTCTTTGAGATTTTCAAATAACAAACTGCAAGTTAAAGGTAAATTAACTAAATGAAATAGAAATATCCTGAAAACTGTTGATTCCTTTTAGGGATGCACCGATGAATCGGCATTTGATCCCAATCGGCCGATAGCGCCCCTATCGGTTTTGATCAGAGTTTTCAAAATAGATCAAAGCAGACGATCAGGTAGGGTTGTCACGGTAACCGGTGTAGCGGTAATAACCGTCTTGTTTTTTTTTTTTTTAAATTCTCTCGGTGGATTACTGTGGCTGCGGCGTAGTCGCGGTGACCCTTACCAGCCACCGTATCATCTGCTGAAGTTGCCGGCGGCTCATGCGCGCTTTGTTGTTTACAACCAAAACTTTCTTGAAGCTAAAGCTGAAATAATGACCAAAGGAGGAGACGGCAGCGCTCAGGACATTTATTATCCCTCAAAGAAGACAACATGGGAAGTACGGGCATATTTTAGATATTTGAAGAATACCGAGGGACAGTTGATAGAAGACGGCTATCCTGTTTGCAGCATGTGCAGAAAAAGTGTCTGTGAAAGGCAGCAACGCTTCAAATCTCATGACACATCTGCGTGACCATCACCCACAACTCTACAGTCAACGCAAGGCAAGCTAACGTTAGCGTTTTAGCTAAAATACCTGATCCGAGGATTTGGGTTGAGGGAGAATGCAACGAGTCGCTATATAAAGCAGCCGCAGCGCCGCTACCTGCATATAAACCGTGTCGCGGACACCCCCATGTTGAAATGACGCTATGCATTACGGGGCTCCCAGGGGCAGATAAGAGTTGGTCTCTCTCCGAGAATAATTATGAATTTAACAATGATTACTGCCTGATGACATTTTACCACATCTGCAAAGCTCACTGGAAGGACACAAACCGAGGACGATATTTCCTGACATACAGGGTTTATTTAATTGTGTGAAAATGTAGCACGTTTAAAAAAAATACCGCGATCATACCGAAAACCGTGGTAATTTTGGTCACAATAACCGTGAGGTTAAATTTTCACACTGTGACAACTCTAATACAGACCATTTTAGATTAGGTTACATTTCCTTTATTCCCAGATTATGTAGTTTGTAGCACTCGTTATGATGTAGTAGAAAATTTCTGGCCAATCCACGTGGTCGGTATCGGTGATCAGCATCCTTTGATATCGGTATCGGTGATCAGCATCCTTTGATATCGGTATCGGAGATCGGCAGCAAAAAACCTGATCGGTGCATCCCTAATTCCTTTATGCTTGTTCTACACGAGTGCTTAGCAAATCTGCCGTGTTCCCTGATGTGTTGCTCACGTTTGTCCTCCAAATCCGTGCAGATCCAGATGAGATGATCTACGATGACGTGGAGCTCGGCGAGGAGGGCGGCTGCAGCAGCTCCCTCGATGACGGCTGGAGCTCCAGTGAGTTTGAAAGCTACGACGAGGCCAGCGACGGAGAGAGTCGCCCTGAAAACGGCCCTCTCAATGCTTTCATGAGAGGAAAAGCACCTCAGAGGAAGATCCACGTGAGTTTTACAGACGTCCTCTTGTTTCCCAGCCAGACTTCCTGCCAGAGACCTCCATCTGTTTATTAAACAGGGCCTAGATATTATTCCTCTACCTTCCAGGGTCTGTTATACATGGATATAATGGAAAAATCCTCACTGTAATGTAGGAACTTTTTTACTTTAGCTAAATAATGAGAAATGAATCGCCAAAAACAAATGTCATTTTCGCCATTAAGGGTTTTACTAATATTTAAGTAATAAGTTGTGAATTTACTAAAAATTAGTAAATATAATAGTAATAGTAATGATAATGATAATAATGTAAAATAATAATTAACCCTTGATTCAAATATCCCTATATTTTAAATTGTTTTTAGTTCAGTAGTTTTTTGCTTGATAAGTTTAAGGCAAGGCAGCTTTTATTTATTTATTTATTTTGCCTTTATTTAACCAGGTTGGTCCCACTGAGATACAATATCTCTTTTGCAAAGGAGACCTGGCCAAGACAGACAGCGCAGCAGCACAAGTTACAACATCAATGCATTCACATTTAAATACATTTCCACATAAACTCAATTAAAACATGAACACGCTGATAGTCTGGATTCCAGTGACCTAATCAGAGTCTTAAATCCACTCAAGGAAACCAAATCCTTGATTTTTAGATCTTTCTGTGGAGAATTCCATGTAGATGGAGCAGCAAAGCTAAACGCCGTCTTTCCCAGCTCTGTGCGAACCTTAGGAACAACAAATTGCAAAAGTTCACTTGAGCGGAGGCTGAACTGTTTCTGCTTTCTTGATGAGACATGATAAATAAAAAGGCAAATATCCGCATACAGCTTTATAAATAAAAACATACCAATGCATGAGTTGACGTACCCGCAATGAAGACCAATTCACTTTTGAATATAACAAACAATGATGGGTAAGAGGCCGACAGTTTGTTATAAAGCGCAAGGCACAAGGATGCACACTGTCCAACATGCTCAAACAGTGCACAGGGGCGTTCATGTACAAGATGTCTCCATAGTCTGTTACAGACATGTTGATTCTGCGTCTGTACAACATTTCATTCACAGAGGCAATTCAATGCGACTGCATAATTAAAACACACAAATGCATTTAGATTAAATAAAATTCTGATTTAAGACTCGGGTTAAAGGCTGAGCAGTTACAGCGCAGCAGGTGCAGCATAAGAAGCATGAAAGTTTGCATGTTTGACTTTAAAGCTATTAGAGTTGGGGCAGATTTGAGGTCACGAGGAAGCTGATTCCATCTGTGCAGTGTAGTCGGAGTACGTTTCAAACAGATGGAGGTCAAATGTACTCTAACAGGTGGTTGACCCGCCTTTCGAATGGTTAAATAAACACCTAAACAAAAGCTTTGTCCTTTTTTATGTAGATGAGCCTGATTTATAAACGATGAAATCCTAAATGTGTTTGACTTTTGTCTAAAACTAATTACAGTAGGTTCAATAAATAAGGGTGTGACAGTTTGTGTATTTGTATTCCGTTCCTGCACGGACTTGTGTCTGTGTTGCACGCAGTCGTGAACCAGCAGCACAAGCACGTGTGTCCGCATGCAGGGGCAGCATCCTGTGGAGACTCGACCTACCTGGTCGACGCAGGCGGGTGTCTGTACCGGATGCAGCGATTTTAAAACTAAGCTTGTCAACAACACGGTGGCTCATCTGGACCTGTCAGACGAGCCACCTCTGTCCCTAGCAGAACCAGAGACGTGGTTAACGTCAGCAGATCGGTCTTTCAGCAGACAATGTGGACAAAATAATGTTTTTATCAACATGAAGGCTGGATGAAGTACAGGAAGTTGATTTCCTACAAATAGAAAAGTAAAGTTTAAATTGAATTGTCATTAAAACTCATTCACTGCCAATGACGACCAAAGTCGTCATTTGCATATGTTTACCGTGTGGGCGTCGGACGAGCCCCCGCACTGCGAGCACGAACATCTCAGCTCTGAAGCCGATCTTCATCCGCGTACGTCACACGTCACGTGATCAGGAAGCAGAAAATCCATGTGTTAGGAGATCGTTTTGGGCCGCTGCAGTAAAAAAAGTGAGGTGTGAACCGGAAACGCTTCTGCCGATCACAATTCAACAACAGATTATGAAAGAACGGATAAAGCTCGAAGCGCGTCGATGCTTCCTGATGTAAGAGGTGAGTCTCTTTGTTTTGGTTGTTTTGGCGTTGACATCACCCTAGCGTGCAACGTTCTGTGACCCTTAAAAAAGCAGTAAAAACAGTGAGAAACGCTGGCAGTGAATGGGTTAAAGCTGTACCGTTATACAAAAGAAGACTTTTCTTTTCTTGTGTTTCCTCACCACACCTGAATGAACCAAACTATGATGTTAAACTGAGGTGCGGACCAAACCCGCGTTATAGGTGAACCATTACACACCATTAACCCCTTAAATTTCCAGGTGAAATAAATGCAATGGGGGTTTTGTCCCACCGGCGGGACCCTGGAATGCCAAGGGGTTAATAAAATATGGACACAGTTCATGTATTTGACATTTCCAACGAACAGGTGCAATTCGCTGTATCTCAGTGCCCGTAAAAGGTAACATTCTTTACACCGATGCATCAAATCGCAGAACAAACACTCGTTAAGGAGGATAATAAAGTCAGCAGTGAGTTCTCCAGGGCCCTGAGGTGCACAGGTCCTTCCCAAACCATAACCAGTAATGCTTGCTTTGCTTTCGTTTAGCTCTCTCAAGATCTGACACGCTTGAAAGAACGCTATGAGAAAAAGGTGAAAGATCTAATGGCGAGTACAGTGGGAACGGTAGAGCTGCAGCAGCTAAAACAGAAACAGGAGCAGAAGGTAAACTAGCTGATGTGTTTGGTATAGATGAACTAGTCCCAGACCCCTTTACTCTCCGTCTGGCTAACTCCACTCCTGGCGTCTTGTCACTGACTCGGTACCTTCAGCCTGCTTTGATGTCAACTACTGGTGGTGGTACTGGTGGTGATGGGTTAACATCAAGTTTATCGCTGTCTGCTTCACTGACGATATGTGTGTCCATCAGAGGTTTTAAAGCTCAGCTTCTCTAACAAAAAGTTACTTAATCTACAAAGTATTATTTGTGGTTGGACTCTTTTATTTAAATAAACGTTTAGTCGATGCCCCTGTTGTCCCGTACGTCTTCCTCCCTGCTGTAACTCTCCTGTCCCACATAGCTCAGCTGCTTTTTAGTTGTAGGTTTAGGAGTGCACTAAACTTCTGCTTGGCTAAAGTAGTTTGAGGGTAAAAATGATTATTTTTTTTATTATTTTACTTGAAGATGCAGAAGCTGGTGAAGGCAGCTAAAGAGGGGACCAAAGATGGGCTGGAGAAAACCAAAGCTGCGGTGAAGAAGGGACGTTCTTTTATCAAAACAAAGTCGTTCTGTCACGGTACGCCTTCGCCTTCAGGTATTCACACCAAGTTTTAAGACTTTTTCTTAAAATTCTGTCGCTTTTTTGGTTTCAGAGAGAAAATCGGCCTGTTTTGAGGATGAGGATGAACTTTTTATTGAGGTGGACTGTTTCAACGTTGAGCCGGTGTTGTGTGCAACACCGGAGGGTCTCACTCAGCAGCAGGTAACGAACACGCCCTTTAACCTTTATCACATTTCGTGTAACGTAGCTATTAAACAGGGTATCCGCGGGTCCTTAAAAAGTCTTAAAAAGTCTTAAATTAGCTTTTCCAAATTTAAGGCCTTAAAAATCCTTAAAAATGACAAATAATCCTTAAATACAGTTTCCAAAGGTCTTAAATTACCAAAGACCCAATAAACAAGATCCTTTTGTTTTCCTGAATTTCTAGTTAGTCTTTAGCATTTTTTGTGTATGATGTTGGCGTAAGCGGAACCGTACACATGCAGTTGGTTGTGAAAGGGGGCTATTTTTAGATGAGCACATTAGCTGGTTAAGCTAGTGGGAGCTTGCGCCATGGGGAAGGGCAAGTTTAATGGTAACTGGATGGCTAATCCTACGTTCGCGACGTGGTTAGCACCGGCTCCAGGCAATAGCTGGAAATATTAGCTTAAATTTAATTTTAAAAGTAGCTTAAATTTGGTCTAAGTGGCCTTAAAAAAGGTCTTAAAAAGTCTTAAATTTGGCTCCCTTAAACCTGCAGATACCCTGTTAAAGGTACAGTAATATAAAATCATTCCTTTGAGCCAGTAGGTGCTAAAATGACCCTTTACATGGCGTCTCTTACCCCGCCCGATCCTTGAGCCTCTCCGGAAGCGGTGACCTGAAGTCTCACAAAGTCACGTATTTCGCAAGAAGCATTAACGCTTTACGGCAATTCATGTCTACACATCAGAACCGTAGATGTCAAGTCTCCCGTTTTGGCCAGGAAACTCCTGTATTTTACTCGTTTCCAATCGTCTCCTTGAGTTAGTATTCTCCTGGAAATTCTCCATGTTGTGTTGATTAAAAAATGTCTTCCGCCACTCTCACGAAGACCGGAGGGATGCCTTACTTCAGCTTCCCAACTTTTCAAATCTCGAACAGACCAGTGGTGTTTATTGTGTCCTGTTCATCACGGCGGAGCCTCAGAAGGAACGAGAACGTTTAGCCGATACAGAAAAAGAACGTCCGATTGAAAGATGGGTCAAGCAAGATTCGGCGTTTTCTGAACGGTGAGCTCGGAGACGAAGAATTTCAATTAATGTCAGATCTCGCGATCATGTAAGTAAAACTTTAATATGTAGTCAGACAAAAACATGGTGGGAGGGGCAAACCGTTCGATTTTCTTATGAGTGATTTAAAATGAACACTAGGAGGCGGTAAAGCGAGCTAAAAGTGCATAGTGTCCCTTTAAAAGACACCAAATAAATCCAGCAAATTAAATTTTGTGTTTTTATATCTGCAGCTTGTCAGAAGATGCATCCTGGGCTCTATTTTAGAAAGTGAGAAGAACTATCTGGAAGCGCTAAAGCGGATATTGGAGGTGAGTAAGTACAGCTGGAGTCGCTGGCAGATTGGTTTTGATGTGGCGTTTGTTACAGGTCGTACTGTCTTGGTTCAACAGCACTATGAGAAGCCCCTTTCCCAGATCGAGCCCCGGCTCCTCAGCGACAGGAAGATGAAGATCGTCTTCTATCGCGTGCGTGAGATCCTGCAGTGCCACTTCCTGTTCCAGATCGCACTAGCGAGTCGCGTGGCGGAGTGGGACGGCCAGGAGATGATCGGGGATGTCTTTGTGGCTTCGGTGAGGAAAAATAAGAACCAGCCACACAAACTGTTCAGGGAAGGTGGAAAGCGAGAATTGAGCTGTTTTTTAATATCTCCTTTTTTCTGATGCAGAAAGGACGATTTGTCTTCATTTGGTTGTGTTGTGTAGTCTGGAACAAAGCATTTAAATTTCTTATCAACTATATTAAAGAGGAAGTTAAAATGAATTGTTGCATATGAAAAAAACTATCCAAAACTTGTGTGTGTGAACCGATTGGTACTTTTGTCTTTGGCTTCCAAAGCTGCTAGAAATAGTGCTTTACTGCATTTTTTACATGTGGAACACGATTGTTTCCGTAGTTTTCCAAATCCATGGTGCTGGACGCCTACAGCGAGTATGTGAACAACTTCAGCACGGCGATGGCAGTCGTCAGGAAGACGTGCGCCTCTAAACCTGGATTCCTGGAGTTTTTGAAGGTTTGACAGATGCACAGTGAAGTAAACATGCTAACTTTAAATCTGGTGTGCATTAAAGCATGGAGATCACAAATATGCAAAAAATGCTCGTATCTCCTTATTCGTTTTTTTTGTTCTGGTGCACTTGAAGAAAATGGCTTATATGTTTGAACTAATAGAAGTTCTTTGTGCTGTTTTGATCAGTTTGCACAGAAAGCTCAGAAAATACTTGATTTTGCTCTAAATCAAAAATGTTCTGATTTACAGCACCGCCAAGAGACTAGCAGTGATCGGATGACTCTGTATGGCCTGATGATGAAACCCATTCAGAGGTTCCCACAGTTCATTTTGCTCCTTCAGGTATAAAATCCTCTATTATGTTAAGAGTATGTGTTGGACACAAGTCACCAGCAGAGGGAGTATCGTGCTCAAACACCAGGACACTTGGTTTGCAGCAAAAAGGCTCATGAAAGGGATAAAAACCTGATTCTTTTAACTTCAAACTTTGTTTTCTTTTGTTCTTTTGATCTCTTTTTAAATAATAGTACAAAATGAACCCACTGTTGTTGTAATTTAAACCTTTAATGTTTAAATCCTCTTCACTCCAGAGGTTGAATTCTATATAAATGCTAAAAAAAAATGCATAATTTCTATCAAATGCTGTGGATTTAATAAATGATTATGAAGTTACTTCAGCAACTCTTTTCACCTTCATCAGGACATGCTGAAGAACACCCCGGTGGGTCATGCGGACCGTCTGCCGCTGCAGATGGCGCTCACCGAACTGGAAACGCTGGCTGAGAAGCTCAATGAAAAAAAGAGAGAGGCTGACCAGCGCTGTGAGATCCGACACATCGCAAAGGCCATGAATGAGCGCTACCTTAATAAGGTGGGTTATGGTGTGGGTGAATGAGTGCTACCTTAACAAGGTGGGTTATGGTGTAGATGAACGAGTGCTACCTTAACAAGGTGGGTTATGGTGTAGATGAACGAGTGCTACCTTAACAAAGTGAGTTATGGTGTAGATGAATGAGTGCTGCCTTAACAAAGTGAGTTATGGTGTGGCTGAATGAGTGCTACCTTAACAAGGTGGGTTATGGTGTAGATGAACGAGTGCTACCTTAACAAGGTGAGTTATGGTGTAGATGAATGAGCGCTACCTTAATAAGGTGGGTTATGGTGTAGACGAATGAGTGCTACCTTAACAAGGTGGGTTATGGTGTAGATGAATGAGTGCTACCTTAACAAAGTGAGCTATGGTGTAGATGAATGAGTGCTACCTTAACAAGGTGGGTTATGGTGTAGATGAATGAGTGCTACCTTAACAAAGTGAGCTATGGTGTAGATGAATGAGTGCTACCTTAACAAGGTGGGTTATGGTGTAGATGAACGAGTGCTACCTTAACAAGGTGGGTTATGGTGTAGATGAATGAGTGCTGCCTTAACAAGGTGGGTTATGGTGTAGACGAATGAGTGCTACCTTAACAAAGTGAGTTATGGTGTAGATGAATGAGTGCTACCTTAACAAAGTGAGTTATGGTGTAGATGAATGAGTGCTACCTTAACAAAGTGAGTTATGGTGTAGATGAATGAGTGCTGCCTTAACAAAGTGAGCTATGGTGTAGACGAATGAGTGCTACCTTAACAAGGTGGGTTATGGTGTAGATGAATGAGTGCTACCTTAACAAAGTGAGCTATGGTGTAGATGAATGAGTGCTACCTTAACAAGGTGGGTTATGGTGTAGATGAATGAGTGCTACCTTAACAAAGTGAGCTATGGTGTAGATGAATGAGTGCTACCTTAACAAGGTGGGTTATGGTGTAGACGAATGAGTGCTACCTTAACAAAGTGAGTTATGGTGTAGACGAATGAGTGCTACCTTAACAAAGTGAGTTATGGTGTAGATGAATGAGTGCTACCTTAACAAAGTGAGTTATGGTGTAGATGAATGAGTGCTACCTTAACAAAGTGAGTTATGGTGTAGACGAATGAGTGCTACCTTAACAAAGTGAGTTATGGTGTAGATGAATGAGTGCTGCCTTAACAAAGTGAGCTATGGTGTAGACGAATGAGTGCTACCTTAACAAGGTGGGTTATGGTGTAGATGAATGAGTGCTACCTTAACAAGGTGGGTTATGGTGTAGATGAATGAGTGCTACCTTAACAAGGTGGGTTATGGTGTAGATGAATGAGTGCTACCTTAACAAGGTGGGTTATGGTGTAGATGAACGAGTGCTACCTTAACAAAGTGAGTTATGGTGTAGACGAATGAGTGCTACCTTAACAAGGTGGGTTATGGTGTAGATGAATGAGTGCTACCTTAACAAAGTGAGCTATGGTGTAGATGAATGAATGCTACCTTAACAAGGTGGGCTATGGTGTAGAAATGATGTCATTATTGGCCTGTCTATGCCACCCAGGTATAGGCACTTAGGTATTCGGCAGATTCTTCTTCATACTTTTATTACAGCCCACACTGTCTATTGCAGCTCGGCCCTGTTTGGGGTGAGCCGGGCCAACTTAGCGAGGCTGCAACTTGTGCAAAATGTGGCTGCCAAGTTCCTAGTGGGTAAGGGGAAGTTTGGTCATGTTACTCTGGTCTTGATTTTAGAATTTGTTTTAAAATCTTTAATAGGTTAAAACTGAGCTGAGCTGAGTTCTTCCGGGTTGGCAGGCTGTGTCGAAATTAGGAATTCGAATTTTTAAAAATTTGAAAAATTCTGGGAAAAACTGAAAATGAGTCCCGGTACCAGTCGATGCTCAGTGCCTTGCCCTAACTCTGAATTCTAACTTGAAAGGCTGTGGGAAAATGAAGCAGTAATGTGTTTCTGATCCTCCCCCTATAGCTTCTGCGTAACGGTAGCCGCTATCTGATTCGCTCAGACGACATGGTGGAGACGGTCTACAACGAGCGGGGGGAAATCATCAAAACCAAGGAGCGATGCCTCTTCCTGCTCAACGATGTGCTGATGTGCGCCACGCCCAACATCCGGTAGGAGAGAGCTCTGCCTGGATCTTTTTATTTAACCCTCCCACTGTCTTTATGGGTGACCCCGTGAGGAAATTTGGCCATTGAGCAGGATTGATGGTTTATCCCTTGAGGTCCACGTGGCAGGGGTGAGGAGTGAGCACCCATTAGGACAGTGGGAGGGTCAAGTTAAACCTCCTGTCTCTATTTTCCCTGAGTTCAAGATCCTGAACAAATGCAGAAAGTTGTACAAATCTGTGCAGAACAGTAATATTTTTGTTTTATATGAATATCCAAAACTGTTGGCCGATATTGGCATTAAAATGTAATAACAGAAATGATCGTAATCGGTTTTTACTCTCTTAATGGCGCAGCTCTTACGGACCATGCACATATCATACATCAAACTCTTCAGCTACTTCTCCACTCACTCAAAATGTCAGAATATGACAGATCTCAGGTTTAGTTTTGTAGATATTTTTGTTTGTCTGGCACAACTGACCTAGCGTTACGGCACAGATCATCATTAAAGTTTACGTAGGAATCGATGTTAGTAACCTAAAGTAATATATTGATATTGGATATTGGTTAAAAACAAGAGCCGATATCAAACGTCCCTAGTTTTTACACATCTTCTTGCTCATTTTCTTTCTTTAGATGTCAGGATGGCAGCGGGAGCGGCAGTGGGAATGCTCCGCCCGACCAGAAGTTCCTCTTGAAGTGGAGCGTGCCTTTGAGCTTCGTGGAAGTGCTAGAGTACGGATCCGGCGAGGATGCTGTGGATAGCAGCCGATACCCAGCCCCGCACTCTGGGGAGAAGGTGGTGATCAACGCAAAGCCAAGTATGAATCCCTTTTCTCTGGGTTTTAACCCTTTCTCACTCTCTGAACTTGTGAAAGACCATTTTTTGAAACATCCCTAACAGAACAAAGTTCTTCCCCTCTGGCCCATCCAGCTACTGAGCTCGTGTATTTTTCCTCTCTGCTGCGCCCTAAAGCTGGCTTAAAGCTTCTGGCTGCTGAGTCCAGTGGTTTCAGTCTTTCCACTGGACGCGCCTCCATCACAAGCAGCTGCTCAGCTCCTCTAAAAGCCCCGGATCAGACAAACGAGCAGAACCAAACTGTGTGATTTAGTGGTTTAGTTTTTATTTTAGGATTTGTTTGGTGTTGTCCTGAAGCTGCGCCGCTCTGCCGCCGAGTTGTCGAGGCTTTGTTAATGCTTTGTGCCTGGTCTGTTTAACATTTGGAGTATTCAAACGGAGGGCAAAGGCTCTCACTTTTAGTTGCCCGTGGTTTCAGGCTGGAATCGCCACCACTAAATTACACGCTGCTCTCTGCAGCTCGCCCACACATCCAGTTTCAGATGTTTTCTCTTCTGCAACTTCAGATTCACGTCTGTTTTCAGTCATGTGGCATTTACTTCTGTATGAAACCCTTCAGTCATTAGCCCTACTTTTAAAAAATGTTCCTTTGTCTTCTCTCAAACCTTCTCTGTGTTAGCTCTACGTTAGGTCGTGCTCGGCGTTTTCTGCTTGCACCGCCGTGTGTCAGCGAGCTGCATTCCTCTCAGCCAAATCAACAGTTCAGCCGTCGGATGAGTGTGTGATAACCGATGGCACACACAGACCTGAGCATCGTCTGCTCTGACTGCAGGGTTTTCCTAGAGCTGCAGCTGATTGGCGGGTTCATCTCATCCCAGCTGCTGAGATCCAGGAGTAAAAATGTTCCTGAGTGCCTGAAGAAGACTGAGTGGATCTTTAACATGAGGAAAAACAATATCTAATCATTAGTTTGTGCTAAACACAGCTCTGGGACCTTGTTTCTCCTGTATACGATGTCATCTCTATGAACAGCTTCCTGTTTAGTTTATACCTGTGTAGCGTAACGGACCGCCGTGCTAACTGGTCATTTGTAGTTGCAGCGTCCTGCTGCTCTTCCATCCAGGCTGTAATTAGCTTTTCTTTGCGTTTAAAAAGGGTTTATTGTTTCAGGAATGAATCTCCTGGATTTGAAGAAGCTCCCTGGACTGTACTTGATGGCGTTTGGCACAAACGGGTTACGTGGAGTGCTTGTTGAGTCACTTCAGCGACTTTAGAAATATTTTCATCTACTACTTCTTATTCATTTTTGTTTGCAAAGAAAAAAAAGCATTTTACTACCAGGCTGCTAAAGAGCTCCATCATAAATGCATCATCAGGTCTTCTGGTGGATAACAAATACTTTAGATTCAAACGGATAAATCAACCTTTTAACCTGAACTCTGATCCAGACCGTCCTAAACACGGTTAACCCGGTCTTTTATGATAATGCCGCTGTGCTCTCTGCACCGTTTATGACCCGTGTTGAGCCGTTCTCATGCTTCTGGAGGCAAACCCCGTGTGCACTACTGAAGGTGTTAGCGGTGGTATCACAGAGGAAAAGACGAATCCCTTTCTCATCTCTGAGTGGCCTTTAGTTTTCAGACAGGGATGAAACCTTCCTAAAATGCTTCGCCAGCAAGGGAACGCACTTGGTTGGTATGGAGCCGATCAGGAGGAGAAAGCAGGAGGAGGTTCTTAAGGAGGTCTTTGCTTCTTCTCCAACGGCTTAGGCGGACTCCCCCTTTGACGGATTTCAGTAGTGATGAATATGTGTCGGTATCCGTTGCTCTGATTGGTCCGAGTGCTGTCCTATTCCGTGTGGAGACGGTTTGATAGACAACCGTAGATCCCACCCCGTGACCGAGCTCTGTCTATGGGTCGTGGTCAGACTGTTTTCTCGTATCTCTCTAATAACTTTAAAATCAAAATGAAAACTTTAATGCATTCATCAGCCTTTGAATGAATGTTGTCGATGCTGCACCTGCTGCACTGTAACTGCTCAGCCTTTCTTCTGACTCTTAAATCAGAATTGAATTTGCGAGTACATTTATTTGTGTACTCGTGCTGTCACGTTGCTTTTGCTGTTCATTCTGTTGGAGAGCTCATTGCATTGCCTCTGTGTACTTGCCCTGCCTTCTGTAGTGTGACGGTGGCACAGGAGTTAAGTGCGCGCCCCGTAATCGGAAGGTTGCAGGTTCGAGCCCCGCTCAGTCTGTCGCTGTCGTTGTGTCCTTGGGCAAGACACTTAACCCACGTTGCCTGCTGGTGGTGGTCGGAGGGACCGGTGGCGCCAGTGCTCGGCAGCCTCGCCTCTGTCAGTGCGCCCCAGGGCAGCTGTGGCTACATCGTAGCTCATCACCACCAGTGTGTGAATGGGTGAATGACTGATTGTGTTGTAAAGCGCCTTGGGGGGTTCCAGGACTCAAGAAGGCGCCATTTACCATTTTTCCAGGCTAGTTGGTGCCAGAACTTCTTCTGAAATTCTTGTTTTTCTCAAATTTGAACAAATCAGCTAATCTTTTGTCTTTTTTTTTATTAAAAGCCTTGAGCTTTATTTGTATCGCTGTGATTTCCCATTTCCTCTCTTATCTGGTTTTCTTCCCATTACTGGTGTACCAGTTTCCGATCACATGATACCTGGCTGACCAGTAAATGATTCCTCCACCAAACCGCCAAAACTAACTGAACTCTCAAACCTGGCTGCTTCCAGTATTTGTGGTTTGGTCGGCTGTGGTTTCACTGGAGAAGTGAGATCTGCTGAACTTCATGCAAGATCACCAAGTTGGATGAATTTGTGCCTGTGTGAGTCAAATGATGATTTATATAGAGGGAAATTGTTCAGTGAAGACAAATATGTTTCCAATTATGCAGTTCTCTGGTTCTGCATGACAGACTGAGTTAAGGAAACTTAAGGGAGGATGATGTGAGCTGGGGTGCAAAAACAAACTAACTGTAGATATTAGTGTTCTAGAGAACAAAGGAGGACATGGACTCTGCCACTGGTGCCTGTGGGAAACCAGCTGATTGTTTTTTGTTGATCTTTGGCCCATTTCTAACGGATTCTCTCATCAGACTGATCTTCTTTCCTGCGTGTCTTTCTTTCTCTGAGGGAAATGTTAACAGCAAAGTCTTTTAAATGTTGCTGTTTCTTTCTAAACTCAAAGCGGAGTCATTTTATTCAATTCAATTCAATTTTATTTATGTAGCGCCAAATCACAACAAGAGTCGTCTCAAGGCACTTCACATAATAAACATTCCGATCCAGGTCTGTTCATTAAGCCAATCAGAAAAAATGTTTCCTATATAAGGAACCCAGCAGATTGCATCAAGTCACTGACTAGTGTCAGCGACTTTACAGCAATCCTTTTACTAAGCAAGCATTTAGCGACAGTGGAGAGGAAAACTCCCCTTTAACAGGAAGAAACCTCCAGAGGATCCTGGCTCAGTATAAGCAGCCATCCACCATGACACACACACACACACACACGCACGCACGCACACGAGGTGATTACGAAATCATGTGTTTGTTTTTGTTTTTATTTACTTTTGTTTTCTTTTGTAGATAAACTGTACATGGGGCCCGGTCAGCTGTACCAAGATCTGCAGAACCTTATCCATGATCTTGGATTGGTAAACCAGATCTCCACCATGATCAGCAGCTTAAAAGGAAACTATCAGGTATTTTCTTCACCTGCACTGGTCCCAAAGTTCAGTTTAAATGGTAAAACGTTTGTTTGAGGGTTCTCCAGAGGCTACGCAGGACGGGTTTGGGTTACATTAGATGCATTTAAATAGGATGATTAGTCTTAAAAAAGCTAAATGTCACGCAGCCTTTGGTTTGGACCGTTCCGGACCGTCGTCTCAAGGGTCCGCTCAAGCCTGCCTGTGCTAATGAAACCGAGCTTTAGTTTGCAGAGCAGGAGTGTGTGAGGTTGTGTTTGTGCTGTGCTGTTAGCTGTGTCAGAAGCAAAGTGGGAGGCAGAGTAATGAAGAGGCTCTCACAGAGACATGTGTCCAAGTCGATGAAGGACAGGATGGAGATGATTGCAGAGGCAGTGGGAAGGCAAAGACAAAACACCAAGTGCCAAGTATTTCTACACCAAGTTTCTCTTCCTGATGTATACGGGCAGCGTTCTAATTATAAGTGTGCAGCAGAAGAAGTTTATGTTGCTCAGGCCTTGGTGAAAGGTTGGGATGTCTTTAGAGATTACATTTCAAGGTTTGGTTTTCTGTTGCTTGTTTATACAGAGACGGCTAATTTAAGGTGCAGTAGGAGATGTTTTTTTTTTGTTATATTCCTAAAAATGCTCTTCACATGCCCATGGCGACCAATTAATTCAATGTTTTGTCAAAAAAATGAATAATTTTAACTCATTCACTGCCAGCCGTTTCCTGATCAGTAAAGCCCTTCGCTGTCAGCGTTTTTCAGCATTTTCACAGTTTTTTTTAAGAGTCACAGAACGTTGCGCGCTATGATTACGTCAAAGCCAAAACTATTAAAACAAAGAGGAGACTCACCTCTTGCATCAGGAAGAATCCGCGCCTTTCGAGTGTTATTCGTTCTTTCATAATCCGTTGTCGAATTGTGATCGGCAGAAGCTTTTCTGGTTCGCGCCTCACTGTTTTTACAGCAATGGCCCAAAACGATCTGCTAACACATGGATTTTCTGCTTCCTGATCACGTGACGTGTGACGTACACAGAAGAAGATCAGCTTTAGAGCTGGGATGTTTGTTCTCTCGGTGCGGGGGCTCGTTTAGGCTCCCACACAGTAAAAAAATGCAAATGACGACTTTAGTCGTCAATGGCAGTGAATGAGTTAATTGCCTCTGAAACACACAATCTTGGAAAATGTGCCATTCTTAATGGCTGGCACGTGATCCAGCCATCAACCTGCACTCTGACCATCCCTCCTCCTCTGCACATACCCCTCATTGTGCACAAATTGCACATTCCCAGCTTGGAGCAGCTGAAGAGGAAGAGAAGCTAGAGCTGGACTACCTTTTATGTTCTGTTTAGAGTCTGGTTCTGTTCTTGTTGGTAAACGTTCCTGTGATGGACCTGTTGTCTGTGAACACAGCCAGTGTTCCATCGGCTGGCAGAGCGATGAGCGTGTCAATGTATGTGTAGAGCCACTCAAAAGGAGAAAGTGAACCGATTCTGAGGTTTGGGTTCGGTTCTGGAAGATTTGTCCTGTTTGTTTGTGGGGTTTGCCCAGATCTTCGGTGGTGCTAACCTGCTATGATTTTGAAGTTAATAATATACCAAGGAAACTTAGTCTCGTTTTTCACTCTGAAACGAGTTTATTATATTAGTTAGCATGCTAAGTGGTTATACAGTTACATATGTGGGTCACGTTAGAAATTATGGCAGAAAACTGGAAAAAGAAGGCTGGACCTTTTATTTTTGTAGCTCTCTAGAACGGCTTTTTCCAGGAGCGCACGCTCTACCTTTAACTGGCCGTCATGAGACAATCTTGCTTTAAATTCTAGTTTGTGTTGGTTCTGCAGCATAATTATGTTATGTAGTTGTAGTTTTTTTTATAAAAGGAAGGTTTTATTTAACAATCTGCACTAAGGAGAAAAGTATTATAATAATGAATTAATCGCATAAACTCCGATTCTTCTTGTGGACATGTTCATTATGTCATTTTAATGTAGAAAAAAGATCTGAATAATATAAACAAAAAAATTAACTGACCTGTAGTGTAATTATCATATTTATAATGGTCAATTTGAAAAAACAAAAAATTTTTGTAATAAAAAAATACAGATTTTCAGATCAATGGAAATGGGAAAAAAAATCCTTTATTACATGTATTCTCTCTCTTCTCGTATTGTTTTACATTTTCCTTGTTTTTGTTTTCTTCTGTGCAGAACGTGAACCCCGCCGTGGCGCAGGACTGGGTTTCGGGTCTCCAGAGGCTCATCCTGAAGAAGGAAGAGGAGATCCGGGCAGCTGACCGGTGCAGGATCCAACTCCAGCTGCCGGGCAAACAAGACAAGTCTGTTTTACAGGAATAAACACACACATTTAACCTAATATGATGTTGAAAACACAGAACATCAGGCTTTGTGTTTATCCCAGAGCTGTTTTCATCCCCTTTTACCCTCTTTTTCTGCATGGATCCTCTCAGCCTCCCTGTATTCAGCTCAGTGAGACAAAATTGGAGCACATTTGGGATAAACAACCTCCCCCCACCAGCTCTAATCTGATGCATGAATCACAGGAGAGGAAATGCACTTCCGTGTTTGCAACCAGACTCTGCCCAGCTGCTGCTGAACACACATATTCCGGCTGCACATGAAAACACTCTATTACCGTCCCCACGCGGCTCCCCCAGGGGTGCGCCATTCTTTCTGACCAAAACTTGCTCTGCATCCTTCTTTTTCCATCTCTCATCTCTGTGGCGTTGAGCAGCTGAGATTATCTGAGGGTATGTTTGGAAACGCAGCTGCTGCTCTCTCATTCCTGCGCTGATCCCTTCACATCAAAACAAAAGCCGCTTCGGCTGCAGACACGAGGGTTGATGATTGACATCCAAACACACAACAGGCCGCTTACAGAAGTGATAACAGGCACTTTTGTCACACTTTCTCCTTCGTCTGATCAGATTAACACAGGCTGCAGATCATCTCTGATGAATTTCAAAATAAAAGTTCCAATTTCCTAACTTCAATTATATAGAATTTGTTCGTGATTTCTAAGACACAATTTATTCATTTTTAATATTTAACAAAAGGGCAGTTCTTCAGCCAGTGTTGTTGAGCTGAGTCGTTTAAGTAATTTCTGTGAAATGCTTCTTTAATTTCAGTTTAACAGTGGATTAAATGTTTTATTTTTCTTAATCACCGGTGTTTGTTTATTTCTCCTTTTGGCAGGTCGGGCAAACCCACATACTTCAGTGCCGTGTTCAATACTCACAGCCCGGCAGTCAAACAGTCATGGATCAGTAACTTGCAGATGGCGAAGTTGGCTCTAGGTACCGTACAGTCGGTGTACTTCTACACGTCTTGTTTCCTGCATGTGAACATTATCTGTCTCAAATATTTCATTGTTCACGATAAACCCTTCTTTTCCTGTTTTAATTTGTAGGATTCGAATTGTTTAAATAAAATAAAAAAATAACTAAAAAGCTGCATCCGTTTAATAGCTGGAATTCCTGAGATGATCATTTAGGTTTTTACAAGGCGACCCCGGTGGAGCGTTCTAATGGGCAACAGATGGCGGCGTGTTCTTACTGAGCTGTGTTATTTGTGTTTTAAATCAGAGGAGGACAACCTGCAGGGCTGGGTCTTCACTGAGGACGACGGTAATCAAATCAAAAAGCAGAAACACCCTCTGTTGCTTCGACAAATGCCCGTGGTGATGTCAAAACTACAGGAGTTCAAGGTGAGGGGGCTTCCTTCTCTGCGGGGGTTCCTGATAGGCAGACCTCAGCTAAAGACAAATCACATTCATTCCTAATAAATCAACAAATATCCCAGAAATCTTGTTTATATAAAACGTTTCTCCTCCCTTAGATTTACACAAGCAGAACAAATGTTTTTTTGTTTCTGTTAGAAAGTGCTTTTATTTTGTAGTAGCTGGCTAAAATGGAATCGAATTATAAAAGAAGTCATCTGAAACTCATTCTTTTATACTGAGTAGCTCAGTAGGTCTGAGAGTAAAACCTGATTCATGCTTCTCCGTCAGTGTTGCAAAGCAATTCCCCTCCAGGACAACAGAGGGCGTAGCGCTGTTCTGTGGTATCCTGTCATGTATCGGTCCAAGATGGTGTGTTTATATTGTGTTTTTTTTGTATATAAGAGACTTTTTAACACCGACAAATTTGTCTCTCATTCTCCTCCACCTCTTCATGCGCTCGCCACCTCTAAACCCACGTTTCCTGTCATTTCCGTCCACAAATAAAACTCTTGCTGCGCATCTTTTCACTCCTCCAGTCACGGGGAATTAAACGTTTATGTTTTTAGAGTTTTTTCGCGAGGTATTCTTCAAGCTGCTCCGTGTCTGCCGCTAGTTATCCTCGGCTCTCTTTATGTTTTTGAGGGTGCAATGGTGGCGGTGTAGACTACAGCGGCGTCCTGACCAATCACAAGCTTGCGTTGTCCGTCTCGACTGACGGATGTTTAGAAAAGAGAGCTCGACTCCATCCGTCCTTGCGGAGCTCTCCGGCAGGCCCGCAAGGACGTTGCGTGTCTCCTCACTGACGCAGACGGAGAAGCATGAATCAGGCTTCAGGTCAAATAACATTTTAGTTTATGGGAACGCGAGCTTTACTGGGTGAGCTGCGACGGACGAGACCCCAGGCTGTTGAATTTAAAGGTTAATCCTTAATCCAGAACAGAGACTCGCTTCCCCTCTCCTCTGTACCATCCTTCAAAGGGAAGCACATGAAAACTGTCATTTCGTCGACGTGAACATTTTATCCCACATTCATGCCTGAATTGAGCTAAAATCATCATCCAAGTGGGTTATAATATATTTTAATGTTGATGTCAGCGGGTCAGTGCGCTGAATCTCCATGGCTGCTCTTACAGACGCCAAGAGGAGCTGCAGCTGAAGCGAGTTTTTCACACATCCGCGCTCTAATGTTTTATCACGGAAGCCAAATGGTGATCTTAATTTCACACGTCCTACGCCCACGGCGGGTGTGAAGATGTTCTGAAGCAACACTGTCTGAATGTCTGCAGAATTGATCTCATTTTTATTTTCTGGTGTGAAGAGATGCTGCGAAAAACTTCCACTGGTGTTGTTTTTCACCTCAAGTAAAAATGTGAACCGATGGCATGTTTTTTTTAGAGAAATAGGGTAAATTGGGGGAAACTGCTTAGTTTTTCTATATGATGCATTAAAAAGGAAAAACTAGTCCAATCTAGTTAGAAGTCAGGATACTTACGAGTGCTTGGATTTGACTCTAGTGTTTTTAAGGCTTTAAAAGTGCTTGAATTTTGTTAAAAGTAGAGACGCACTTAAAACAATTATAAGGGTCTGGTGAGCAGAACATTCAGCATGATGGACTCAGACAGTGATCCGACAATCTGAGACTTGAAAAGTTCGTGTTTTTGGTCGATGAAGGCACTAGTGACTACCTACGGAAGCCCAGCAAACTGCATCGAGTCACTGACTTGTTGTGTCTGTGACTTTGCAGCAATCCTTATACTAGGCCAGCATGTAAGGCAAGGCAATGCAGCTTTATTTGTTTAGCACATGTCAAACTCAAAGGCAATTCAAAGTGCTTTACAGAAGCAAGAACATCAAACACAGAAACTAAGAAATGTAGACATTCGTTTCAGATTCAACCAACTGATAAATGGCATAGTCGACATTAGGGATGTGTATTGGTGAAATTCTGGCAATACGATATGCATTACAATACGGGGGAGACGATACAATATACCACGATATATTGCGATACATTCAGCCAGACAATAGTAGCAATTGTTTTAGACTGAATCTATTGTAGGAAATTTCAATAAACTGCCCAAACTGATACTTAACATGTTCATCATGAAGTATCTGAACCATAATAAAGAGATGTACATTTCAATAGTGGAAAGAAAACCCACTGCACACTGCTGCCAACTAGAAGTCGGCGTTTGAATTGCACCAAAGGAAATGAAAATACACACATGTTTGCATGTGAATTCTTCCCAAAATTCGATACACAGCTTTTGAATATCGATATAATATTGCAGGAAACAATATCTCGATATATTGCCATATCGATATTTTCTTACATCCCTAGTCGACATGGTAGCAGTTACAGTGCAGAAAGTGCAGCATAAACATTTATTCAAAGGATAATGAATACATGAAGGTTTTTAATTTTGATTTTAAAAGTTACTATAGTTGGGGTACATTTGAGGTCATCGGGAAGCTGATTCCATATGTGAGCAGCAGAGTGACTAAAAGCAGCTTCGCCCAGTTTGGTTCTGACTCGAGGTTCTACCAGCTAACTGCTTCCTAAGGATCTGAGAGCCCTGCTGGGTGTGTATACCAGAAGGAGATCCAACATGTACTTTGGCTTCATACCATCGAGAGATTTATTGACTAGTAAAAGCACTTAGAAGTTGATTCTGTAGTTTACTGGTAGCCAGTGTAGAGATTTAAGAACAGGAGTCATGTGCTCGGTTCTTTTGGTTCTTGTTAAGACTCTGTAGGCTAGTTGTCCTACAGCTGTTTTGGGAAGACCAGTTAGAAGAGCATTGTAATAGTCCAGCCTGCTGGAAATAAACACATGAATTAGTTTCTCTAGGTCTTGTTTTGACATGAGACCTCTGAGTCCCGCTAATTGATGGAGGTGATAAAACGCTGATCTAGTTCTAGCTTTAATGTGACATGACCAGTGATGCTCAGGTCTGAATCAGTGGTAACTCCAAGATTTCTAACCTGAGTCTTTGTCTTTATTCCTCTGGAGCTAAGTTGAGAAATAGGAGAAGCCTTCTATTTATCGGTCAATCTACGTTCCCACCCTCACCTATAGTCGTGAGCTTTGGGTAGTGACCAAAAGAACGAGATTGTGGATACAAGCGGCGAGGGCCGCACGATGTTAGGAAAACCTGCAATATGTGATAACGGTGATTGATATTGCGATGACGATATCACTCCCGATAATTTAAAAACTTAACTCGGGAGCAAAATTGATCAAAAACAATTAAATAAATAAATCATGAAAAAAATCATAAAAATGAGAAAAGCTAAAGATGCGAGGAAAGGGAAAAGAAAATGAACAAGAAAAGGCGATCAGTGGATCCCGGGAAAAGCAGAATCAGCAGAAAGAGCAGAACAAAGCTAACTCAGGTGTTTGCTAACCATTAAAATTAAGCGCCGTTCGGCTCAGGGACGGGCATCTAGCCTATGAGAATCCACCCGATTGGCCAAATGTGTGAAGAGCTCCATTGGATTTGTTAAAAAACATCATGCTTCCATTTGATTGACAGAATGCATTATGTGTAGCAAACATTTGAGCTGACCACTCATTGCGATATTTATCTGTTCTTTGCGATATGCTGATATTGCGATAACGACGAATTTATGATATATTCAGGGTATCCGCGGGTCCTTAAAAAGTCTTAAATTTGCTTTTCCAAATTTAAGGTCTTAAAAGTCCTTAAAAATGGCAAATAATCCTTAAATACAGTTTCCAATGGTCTTAAATGACCAAAGACCCAATAAACAAGGTTATTTAATTTCTATGAAATTTTTGTGAATTTCTAGTTAGTGTTCAGCATTTTTTGTGTATGATGTTGGCGTAAGCGGAACCGTACACATTCAGTTGGTTGTGAAAGGGGGCTATTTTTAGATAAGCACATTAGCTGGTTAAGCTAGTGGGAGCTTGCACCATGGGGAAGTGCAAGTTTAATGGTAACTGGATGGCTAATCCCACGTTTGTGACGTGGTTAGTACCGATTCCAGGCAATAGCTGGAAATTATGGCTTAAATTTGGTCAAAGTGGCCTTAAAAATGGCTTAAAAAGTCTTAAATTTGGCTCCCTTAAACCTGCAGATACCCTGTATATTGTGCAGCTCTACAAGCGGCCATAATGAGTTTTCTCTGCAGGGTGGCTGGGCTCTCCCTTAGAGAGAGGGTGAGAAGCTCAGTCATCTGGGAGGGGCTCGGAGTAGACCCGCTGCTCCTCCACATCGAGATGAGCCAGTTGAGGTGGCTTGGGCATCTGGCTAGGATGCCTCCTGAATGCTTCCCTGGTGAGGTTTTCTGAGCACGTCCAGGTCTAAAGGAAAACCCAGGACATGCTGGAGGGACCATGTCTCTCAGCTGGCCAGGGAACTCCTTGGGATTCCCCCGGAGGAGCTGGCTGAAGTGGCCAGGGAGAGGGAAGTCTGGGCCATTCTGCTTAGGCTGCTGCCCCCACACCCCGACCTCAGATAAGCAGATGAATATGGATGGATGTAAATCATCATCACCTCATATTCTGTAAACCTATGACTGACTTGCTCTAGGTGTAAAGACCCCGCAGGTTGTCTGAGCTGCACTGACGGGTTTGTGCCCACAGAGCCGGTTAGATCTGGTCATTAGTCACTAATGCCAAGGCTGCAGGTTTGATCCGCACATGTTTGTTTCAAGTCTACCAACAACAACTTGTTCCACTAAAACGATGTGAAACTAAATTAACTTGGTCTGGAAACGTTTTGTCCCAGTGCATCTTCTTTGTTTAACCTTTTCATTGAATTCCTTGTTTTTCCTGTTCTGCGGCAGGTGGAATGTGCTGTCCACAACCCAGAGCCCCACATCAATGTAGAGAGCACGGCCGACTCTCCTGTCATGGGTCACGGGTGTGTCTGGGTGAGAATGTTCTCCTGCATGACACAACAGGAAATAACTCGTTTATAGAACCATCAAAATGATGCTCTATGCTGACGATTCCTGCGTAGTGAGCAACCAGAACTAATGAAATATCTGCAGTAAGTCGGATTTTACCAAAGAAGAACATCTTTATCTTTGCTCAGGTTGCAAGTTGCGCCAACCAGATGGGTCAAGTCGCCATAGTGGCCATGCAAAGCTCCAACCCTAAGGTGACTGAGTGCTTCAACGTGGAATCCCGGATCCTCTGCATGGCCTACGTCCCGACAGAACAACTGGAAGAAAATGGTGAAAAAGTCCCTGAGAATAACCATGCCCCCCCTGCAAGAGCCAGTGATACCCCGTCTGTTTGTTTAGGCATGGAGGAGGGCAGGTACAGACACTACAGTCGGCTTTTTTAATTATTACATCCAAAGTGTGACATTATTCTTCCTGTTCAGCATCATTGTGTATAAGAGCAGCCAGCGGTCCAAAAAGGTGCGTCTGCAGCATTTCTTCACTCCAGACAAGTCTACCGTCACCAGCCTGGTCTATACAAAGCACTGTCTGTACGCCGGCCTGGTTAGTGGCTCCGTGGCAATTTACTCCAGATCACAAGGTGTGTTTTTTTTTAAAAAGACTCTTTTTAATCTGTTTTCCCTTCTTCAAGTCCAGCTTTCATAGAGTTTACTATAATTAAGCTCATTATACTGGCACAGCTTGGTAAGCTGTAATCTAAGGTGTGTCAGAGCCTCGGTGTGCAGCTGGAGGTCAGGGGTCAGCTCTGTTGTGTGTTTAAACTCGGTTTCCATTTGCTTTGTTGGCTGGGAGAAGCCAGTGTGTCAGCTGCCGTCTATTTAATGTCTTTCCTCTTTTGCTTCCAAGCAAACTTTTCCCACATTTTCAGCTTTGTTCCGTCTGTCGTTGGCTGTAAACGGAGCACATCGTGTGTTTTTGGTTCGTTTTTCTTTTCAGTTGATTGTCAAATATGATATTTTCATCACTGTTCTGCCGTTCTTTTGCTACAAATTCTAAGTGACTGATTAGATTCTTGCTCTAGCCTCCCCACCAGTCGGTCTGTTGGGTTTTTGTGCGCTGGAGAGTAATGAGACAAAGAACGATGGTTGCCTATGGACAGAAACATGAAGGAAAACGAGTCTTTCATCTCTGTCAAGACGCAGTTTCCCAGGAAGAAACCGCCTCTGTTTGTTAGTCATGTTGAGTTTTCCTTTTATTTATTTATTTTGCTCCTACATTAGTTGGTAAATAGTTGCATAATTTATTGTCGTTGGATCTGGATCCTCCATTATTTCAGTCAGGAGAATTTCCTTGCGTAAAACCGGGTCGTTCGTGTTGGATGGCATGACTGTTCCACCATGACGCTGACTGATTCGTCATGCACTGGTTGAAAATTGCTCCCTTTTATTCAAGTAATGCTGCACATGTGCTTGGGCTCTGCCTGCAGCCCGTTAGCATTTTAAGCAGGGCAGGCCCACGGTTTACCTTCCTGAAAGCGGCAGAGCTGTGAGAAGCGATCCGATCAAAGGGAACGTCGCCAAGATATCAAAAATGCCTGAAGAGGCGGAAAAGTTGCTTCGTTTCTGAAGCTGCAGGGGAAACACCACCCTGCTGTTGATCTGAAGCTGGCCGCCTAGTTCTGTCATGTTTGCTGTTTCCTCAGTGAGTGACTGTGTGAGAGACCCAGACAGAGGGAGGCGGTGAATCAGCACAGATCGCACGTCACCGACCAAAAAAAATCTGCTTTTCTCATCCTGAGACATCAACTTCATTCTTGCTGAGGTCTAGACTCTTCGTTGGTTGTAGCCTTTTCAAGATAAGATACACTATTTGCTCTTTTGGGATTTTTTGTGCACACGCGCCCATTAGCTGACATCAGCATGAAGGAATGCAACATTTCAAGAAATGAGCGATGCAGGCAGACACTTGGGTTACATAAGCCTTCCAGATGACACGCCGGTCTCCTTTTATTGCTGCTCCTGCTATTTTCTACCTAGCGTCACCGACGCTGTGTCATTGTTGGAACAACACACACAGAAAAGGGCTGGAATCCTAATTTAGTCGCTTTAGTTGGTTTCTTTCCTGGTTAAAGCAGATTTCGCTGCGTGGCACCTTCTCCTCTCAATAGACGTCTTTGTGCTTTCTGTTAGACAAACATCACGGAGGAGGCCGTATTCTCCTTCTGGCCTGGATTAGCCAGAGGAATGTGCTTTCTGGGTAAACTGTATTCAATAATCGACATCCAGATTCAATGTGTCATGTTGGTTCTTGCTCCTAAAGCTCTGAAATCTCCGCCTCACCTTACATTCTTCTGTTTTCCTGTTTTTATTACATGAAATCTGAGACTTTCCTTATTCTCTAAGTACAGATGGCATTTTCCAGGTGAATAAAATGATTGTAGAAGTGATTATATCTATAAATACACAGCAGAGGGTGTTTTTTTTTTTTGCTCTCGAGCTGAATCTGTAAGCCTGCACATGCACAACAGAGTGTGTAGGAGTCGCTTGTGGGATCCAGCTCAGCTCTGACTAACACTTCACAGCCCATCTATATTCACAGTGAAGCCTGTGGAACCCATCAATGACCACTTAGCAGAGTTATAAATGCAGATGACCTTTAAAGGTGGCGTTTATAAACCATTAATAAGCAGGAGAGCTTTATTGTTGCTCTTTGATGTTTTCATTTCAAGCATTTCGTGTTTATTTATTAGGTTTAGAATATTTTCTGTATGTATTTGGACAACGTCAAACCGTTTGCCTCCAGATGGGTCGTGGAGCTGTGATGAGCCTAAGCTGATAAAGCTGGGAGTTCTGCCGGTCAAGGCGATGCTGGCCGTGGAGGATCACCTCTGGGCCTCCTCAGGTGGACAGGTCTTCATCATCAGCACCCGCACACACTGTGTGGAGGTACGTAAGCCGGGCCTAATCCTGTCAGGCTGCACCGATGAGAAAATGTCTTGGGATTTTACTTCATTCAGTGCAGAGATGTTGTTCACGGTGTTCCCCAGGGCTCGGTCCTTGGCCTAATTTAGTTTCTTTTATTTATTTGCCCTCTTGGGGAGATTATTAAAATCTTTACTAATGTGTCCTACCATTTATATGCGGATGACATTCAACTGTACTGCTCTTTCAATGACACAGAGTTTAACAAGTTAGCTGATCTACTTGATTGCACTGAGCGTATTAAGGACTGGCTAGCCAGTAACTGTCTTCAGTTGAACTCAAGCAAGACCGAAACACTGATCATTGCTCCTGAACAGAAAGTGCTTTTAATCAAACAACACCTCGGTTCCCTGAGCTCCTCAGTCCAGACCAGTCTCAGAAACCTCGGTGTTCTTTTTGACCAATCCATGTCTTTGAGCTGCCACTCAAAACATTTAGTAAAAAACTGCTTTTATCTTTTGCGAAACATTTCCAAATTGAGAGCTTTTACTCCAAAATCGGACTTGGAGATGATTATCCATGCTTTTATTTCTTCTCGTTTAGATTATTGTAACTCTATCTTTACTTGTTTTAACAAATCAGATGTCAGTCGTCTCCAGTTGGTCCAGAACGCCGCAGCAAGGCTTTTAACAGGAACCAATAGAAGGGCTCACATAACACCAGTTTTATCTTCTTTACGTTGGCTACCGGTCAAGTTTAGGATTGATTTTAAAATTTGAGTTTTGACTTTTAGAGCTCTTAATGGACAAGCTCCACAATATTAATCGGACCTTTTAATCCCTCACTCTTCTGGCCGCACTCTACAGTCCTCGGGCCAAAACCAAAGGGGACAGGGCCTTTCAGACTATTGTACCCAGACTTTGGAACAGTCTGCCTTCAAATCTCCGTCTCTCTAACACTGTAGAGGTCTTTAAAAATCATCTAAAAACTCACCTTTTCATCCAGGCGTTCCCTCCCTAAATGTTTCAGAATGATGGCTTTGTTCGGGTTCACACCTTCACTTTGTTTATACTCATGATTTCATTTTCTACTTTATCACTGCTATTGTTTTTTGGATGTTTTTATTGGTTAGAGGTATTTGCCCTGATCTTTATCATGTTGTACAGCGCTTTGTGATTTATATCTGTGAAAGGCGCTATATTAATAAACTTTTACTTACTTACTTACTTACCTACTGAAGGTCCCTAAGACCAGATTTAAAACTAGAGGGGACCTGTCCTTTCAAGCTGTAGCTCCCAGACTTCGGAACGTCCGGCCCGTGTTTCTTCGTGTGGCCGACTGTTGATTCTTTTAAAAAGCAGCTGAAGACACTTTTATTTAGACAAGCTTTTTATGTAAGTTGACCTTGTGCTCCTGTCCTGTTTTGTCTTTTTATGTATGTTGTGAAGCACTTTGTGATTTTATCTGTGAAAAGTGCTATATAAATAAAGTTTTACTTGATAATTTTGGGATTTTACTTCATTCAGTGCAGAGATTTTAGTTTATTTAGAGTCTGATTTTATTTAAAATGCAGATCAAACCCGTGAAAAGTCACTTTATTAGTTTATTTATGTAGAAATCACCTTAGATTGATCAGATATTTATTATGTGAGTTAACTTATGCTTCGTGTGATTGTCTAAGCTTAACTTTTAGTTTTCTTTCCATCGTTTTCGTTAATAAAATTCCTGGAAGGTGATATTCCGTGCGTGTCCTGGCCTGGTTTTGGGAATGCCTAGCACCTGCTCCGAGTCCAGGAATAGCAACGATCTTCTGACATGCGCTCAGTCGTAATGAGTTTAGCCTCGTTAAGCTCATTATGTTGGACCACCTGCCTGTTGGCGCCTTTTCTTCACTGTTGGTGGCGTTTAAAAGTCAGAGGGGTTTGGAAGTGTTGAGTCGTGTAACATAAGGAATATTTAATGTAGCGCGTGACTAAAGGGAACAAGGTTCAGAAACCGAATCCACAACTTGGCCTACAAATAAGTTTATTCAAAAACTTTCATGATTTATGCTTTCAGAAAGATTTCCCACCGGTGCCCTGTCGTTTTCATTTTGTATCTGAAGTCAATTGGTGTAAGCAGACATGACCGGTAACGCTGCAGGGGCAGGTGTAGCCTAGCATCTCTGTGGGTTGTGATGTTTACGGAGATAATCTAAGTTTAACATCACTGTTCAGTTTTAAAGACAAAAAGCTCACATAAACGCTGCGTTTCAGTCTAATAAATCAGTGCAACACAGTCCAGTTGTATTAACCTGGCCTCTTCTCGTCCTCCAGAGGCAGCTGGAGGCCCACCAGGAGGAGGGCATGGTGGTGTCTCACATGGTGGTGGCCGGAGTGGGCATCTGGATCGCATTCAGCTCCGGTTCCACGCTGCGCCTCTTCCACACTGAGACCCTGGAGCACCTGCAGGACATAAACATCGCCACACCTGTTAATAATATACTGCCTGGTAAGAGTGCGCTAAAAACGCTCAACATGGAGAGATGAGTCTGGGCCCAGGCTTTAGAGGGATTCTTCTTTTACCCGTGCTGCACCTCCTCTTCATAACAAACTAGAAAACCCACTGATTCTTCGGCCTGGCATGGTTTGTTTCTTCTCTTGGTGTCTGGAAGTATCTCAGTCCAAAGTCTTTTCACACCAGGTTTTAAGATCCAGCCTCATTGTTTCCTGTCTGGCTACCACCTTCACGTCTCCGGATACGTCTCTGCTTTCTCCTGCTGCTCTCCACTGTCACTCAGCAACGTGATCCGTTTACCTGACAAAGACCCAGAACACTTCCACACTATCAAACACGAACCAGACGCGGCCTCTTTATTTCAGATCCAACCATTTAATGAACGTAAAGCTCATCCACAGATTCCATTTTCCTCATCCGTCGCTCGGCGGGGAATAACCATCCTCCGTGTAGATTTTCATCACTGCAGGTTTTTCACACTTATTCAAGCTTTTCTTCCCTTTTTCAAAAGCTTCTTTTGTCGAAGTGATGAACTGAGACCTACTTATTTGTCTCTGTTCGTCTGGGTTTTATAGAACAGTTTGTCCTAATCAAGTCCGTTTTAAAGATGGAAGCAGCCGTCTACCTGGAAACTCGCCTGAATCTGAAGGTTCAACTGAACCTTAATGAAAAAAGTCCTTTTTATTCGTCAGACTGTTATTCTTGAGCAAAGATAAAACAGCTTTATTGAAGTAAGTGGATACTTTAACCCTAAAATGCAACCTAAAGTAAGTTTTAAGCAATAATTCTGAGAACAGGGGTCCTTAAAAAGTCTTAAATTTGCTTTTCTAAATTTAAGGCCTTAAAAATCCTTAAAAATTACAAATAATCCTTAAATACAGTTTCCAAATGTCTTAAATTACCAAAGACCCAATAAACAAGAATTTCTAGTTGGTGTTCAGCATTTTTTGTGTATGATGTTGGTGTAAGCGGAACTGTACACATTCAGTTGGTTGTAAAAGAGGTCTGTTTTTAGATGAGCACATTAGCTGGTTAAGCTAGTGGGGGCTTGCGCCATGGGGAAGTGCAAGTTTAATGGTAACTGGGTGGGTAATTCCACGTTTGCGACATGGTTAGCAATGGTTCCAGGCAATAGCTGGAAATTATAGCTTAAATTTAATTTTTAAAAAATGGCTTAAATTTGGTCACACTGGCCTTAAAAAGGTCTTAAAAAGTCTTAAATTTGGCTCCCTTAAACCTGCAGATACCCTGTGAGAAATGAGCTTAATTTTTACTTGGAAGAAGAATTAGGACGCCCTATTGTAACGGTTCACCTTAGGTCAGCTATTGTGTTAGCCGTAAACCCGCCATTAACTGGATGAGTTATCTAAGCTCCGGTGTCAGGAGTTAGACGAGTGAGCTGCTGGATCCAGACAGGTTTCATTGTGGAGAGCAAATATTTAATTTTAGGGGTGGTGTAAAAAAAAAGCATGGAAGTTAAACTCGCTTTGTTAGCAAAACTCATTTTGTAACTAATAAAGTTTTCAACCTGTGGAAGTGTTGTTTATCACTAAGAGGATTCGAGATGGAGAACTGCTGTTTAGCCTCATAAAAATTGTTGCTGAGGATTTAAAATCACGTTCATCCCCAGTAACCTGCTGCTTTATATCAGTGTGACCCAAAAACACGCCGCTGGGAAGTGTGGTCATAGTTACAGTTGTGTGTAGGATTCAGGGATTCATACGACCGGATCGTTGATGTTTTCAGTTTCTCTTTTCTTCTTTTTGACTAAGACACTCAGCAGACACATGGTGTGGACATTTTACATATTTAAACCAAACATTTCTGCTTGAATTCGGTTAATCTGTTGAATGAAGGTTAAAATCTTCACCAGATAGTGTAGTCTGGCGATCCATCCTGTATGTTTGGTCTGGCCAGCTTATTTCTGGGGCGGAGTCTATGGTCGTCTTTCAGACTGTCTCCACACACAGTTGGACGGCAGTAGGACCAATCAGAGCTACCAGCAAGGTGATGGACTCAGCCAACGGTCTGCCATACATCGTTGAAGAAGAAGAAAATGGGTTATTTTTCTAAATAAACGACTAAAGTATCTCTTATCTGCTCATGTCGCTAAGAAAAGCTCAAGTCTAAATTGTTCAGTTGATGGCAAGGGTTTAGAACAGGACGTTCACAATGATTGGATGAGTTTTTTTCCAGGATTGTACATTTCTGAGGTGATTAAATTTATTCACTTTTTTACAGAATATTGAATTTATCGGTTTTCATCAGTGTGTGAAGGTTTAAATGTGGCGAGAAATGCTCCATAAAAACATCTTCTGCCCAACTTTAGGTAATTAGACAATAAAACGTTATTGGAAATCAAAAGTTTTCATTGTTAAAAACAAACAGCCATTCGTTCTGGGTGGTTACGCCATCTCTGCTCCGTCATGCTTCTGGATTTAGAGTATTCGTGTTCCTGGATCATTTAAAAACCCAAGTTTCCTCTAGGAAATCCCTAATTGCAAGTAAAAATGTAGAAGCTGACCCAACTGCTTCAAGTGTCCACATCCCCCATACCCCGTGAGAACCTCACCACACCGTCTAGCGTTGGAAATAAAAGTGGGTTTTGTCAGACAGATGTGAACGATAAAAGCTGTGGGCGCTCAGCATCCTAATAGAATCCCGCCACCACAGAGGAAGCTCCTTCTGGGACCAACCAGTGCACATGAGAGCTTTCGTCTTGTGGGCTCCGCCATTAGAGCTCATTTCCTCTGAAAACAATACGAGTGCTCTGGATTGTCAGTCTGCATGAAAAGTTGGCGTTTTTGTACTTTTTGATCCACTGTTTAGTTGAGATTTGATCAAATCTCTTGAGTGAAGTTCACCTGTCGAACACGTTATTCTCATCTACTCTTATTTGTGTGCAAACACAACATTTATGGCTGCTGGCTGCTGCTGTGGAACAGAAAGAGACCCGAAAAATGTGCTGTTTTTTCCCAAACTCTGATGTAACTGGGACGGCTGGCCACACTGTTTAGACTAGAGCAACCGTCTGCAGCCGTTGTTAGGAGTAAGGAGTGTCAAACGTTTCATGTGCAATTCAGCTCCTCATTAGTGTTCATTCTGAGAGGCCCAGTAATGGTCGTGAGAAAAATCGACATGAAATTACACTGAGATCTTCTCTCATGAGGTCTTAATGCAGTTGTGGCTGATCGCAGTAGCAATATTCTCTCAAAGAAACATGGGGTGGTGTCCTGAGTCCTTTATCGATGCTGCGGTGTTAAATCCTGCAGGGAGGTGGGGTTAGCCTTCTCAAGTTCATGCATGTTGAAGCAATTCTGCCAACTCCCTCCTTTGCAGCTTGAATGAGAAACTTCTGTCAGCAAAGTCCCAGATAGTTAACATGCTGTAATAGCTGCATTTAGAGGGAACTCTGTGCCACCTTTAGTAAACTAGAACATGCAATTCTCACCAAAACACACATGTAGTTGTTGCAATATAGAGGTCTTAACGGTAAATGGTTAAATTGGAATAGTAATTTTAATAATAATATAATAAAATTTGTGTTCACCACCAGCGCAGCTCGCTGTGTGATCATGGATGGTGGCTGCCTGGTTGCCGTGACGAAGCTTCTGTCTTTGTCTGCTGCTGTGTGACCTAAATATGCAGCCATGCATGACCTGATGGGAGACAAACATCAAGGGGGTTGATAAATAACACCTCCAGTGTCTTTGTTTGTGCACCGGCGTTTCTGTGCACCTCAAAGTGGTCAGCACGTTTACTGGTGAAGTGGTAATCAGTGGCGCCAAGTCGGGACCCAGATTTAATATTTACAAGCGTAATAAAGAAAGATGGTTTGGCTCTCAGCTAGGAATGCAAGAAAATGTTGACGCACTGAAATATCTTGATATCTGGATAATTAAAGGTGCAATAAGTAAGAATTTTACAGTGAAACAATCACAACAGTCTAATGTCTTACGGGCAGCAGTAGCTCAGGTGGTAGAGCAGGTTGCCTCATGATCGGAGGGTCATGGGTTCGATTCCAACTCCCGCCAGAGGTATTCTGCTGTTGTGTCCTTGGGCAAGACACTTCACCCAACTTGCCTGTGTTAGTGGTGGTCAGAGGGGCCGACGGCGCCAAATGGCAGCCTCGCCTCTGTCAGACCTCCCCAGGGCGGCTGTGGCTACAAGTAGCTTACCATCACTAGCAGTGTGTGAATGTGAGAGTGTGTGAAAGCATCTTTGGGTGTCTAGAAAAGTGCTATACAAGTTCAATGCATTATTATTATTATCATTGTTATTATTATTATTATTATTATTGTGTTGGAACATTGGCCAGCGAGCCGTCCCGCCATCATTTGGATGGCCTGACTTCAAAAAGGACGGCCTAATTAACGAGGGGGCAGCTTTTAAATTTGATGGCAAGCAGTCCCCGTTTCTGTAATATCTAATATAGAATTTGCATTTTGTGGAAGTAAAATAAAAATCTGATTATTGCACAAATAAATCGACAAACACATGAACACACAGACTTCCAAACTTTGGACATCTCCTGTGATTTAGTTTCAACAATTTTCCCTCAACCGTATCAGCAGATTCTTCCATTTAAATCATAACGAGCCACATTAGGGCTCCGTAATGAAACACAAGTCTGAACAACTTATAGAACATGACTCGTTTTTACTCATCCTCCAGAACTGTTTGGTGCTGAGCCATAGCTGACCGCAAACCTGAGTCAGTCAGGGGTTTTGAAAATGGGCTGCAGTAACCAAATTTGACCACATGATGTCATTCTAACTTTATTCTTACCTTCAAAAGCAGCTTATTGATTTTTTTTTATTGACAATTTACCATCAAACATTTACTGTTTTTTAGTGACATGTAATTCAAACTCCGACTGCTAGGTGGCAGCAGATGTTGTCTTGTTCATTCTGGCGGAACAAGGTGTCACTATAATACCAGATATGTTTTGGAAGTGGCTGGCTTGAGTTTCCCAAATAAATTAAATTTTTAAATTTACAAATATCGTCTGGCTTTAGTACCGCGATATATCGTATCGCCTCGTCTGTATTGTGATATGTATTCTTGCACACAAACCCTGCTTTCAGCTACAGTAACCGGCAGTGAAGTCTCTCAAAATGCCGATCCTAAGTATTTCTAGACGGGGGGTGAATTTCTAGATTTACTCTTCCCTCCACTGTTGATTGTCAGGACTTGTGTAGATCAAAGAGGTCATCTGGTGTAGGATCAGGGACAGAGCTGCCCCGTGTTGATGCTCTCGTAGGGTTTATTTTAGTTCACCCTCTGGGTGGGGAACTCCAAATATTATGAAAGGAGGAAGTTGAGCAAGGTCCTTGACCAGGAGTCTGTGTTTCTCCTGACTCGGAGCCTTCATTAGAAGCACATGTGGGCAAGAGTTGGCATTAAACTGTACCAGCCTGCCATGGCAGACATGGAAGTATAGCAAGATGGCAGTAAGGCGTGTGTGCACCTCATGCACAGGGTCAGCCCTAGTAAGGGGGGTTAGGCAGATAAACTGGCAGCCATTTTTTACTAAAACCCAAGAGGATTAGTTTGAGGGAGGAAACTCAAGTCAGGCTGTTCCAACAGTAATGACTCATGACCGTCTCACCTCCCACATAGCAGACCTGAGAGGGCTGTTATTCCAAAACCTCAAATTCTCACTGCAACCCTACAAACAGTGTAAAAAAAATCTGCTTTATTTCCCATTTGTTGCATCACTGAGTCATGACAAAGCTTCTATGTGGGGACGGTGTTAGGGAAATGCCAAGTTCCACATAATAAGTCACTACACAGACCGTCGGCAGCCTGGCTTTATTGCCGTCCTCGTTGAAAGGTGTTGTTAGCTTAACAATCCTCGCTTTTACAATCCAAAGAGGCTTCGGTGATTTTTCTGAACAGGAGAGGGAACATAAAAGGTCAGGTCATTTGGCCATACTTTGTATGAATAGAGGCCGAGCACCTTCACTAATTACAGCGTTACGCTTCACTCATCCTGTTACGTAACACTTTTGTGTTTGTTTGTTTGTTTGACTCAAAGCCGACCTTAGTGGTGCATTTTTCTTTGTTCCGATACATCCAGGCTCCTCTTCAGGTTGCCATGGAGACAAACGAGCATTGAACACTGTGGCTGCCGAAATGCTGCCACATACTAACGTCCCCCCCCCCCACACACACACACACACATACACACATGCCACCATTCTGTGTGCTGCGCTGTTCAAACCTGGTGGAATGAGTCCTTAACAGTTTTGTTTTTGGTTTTCAAGGAGATTCTGTGTGTGGAAGGATGTGCTCGCCAAGCTTTTCTCTTTATTTGCAAAAACCAGTGGATTTACCTCAGAAATCACTTTAATGAATGGAAAATGAGCCTGTCCCGTTTCTCTGCAGGGAACCAGAGAGTGTCGGTCAGCAGTCTGCTGGTGTGTCACGGCCTGCTTCTAGTGGGAACAAACTTGGGGGTGACTGTGGCTCTTTCAGTCCCTCGACTACAAGGCATCCCTAAAGTAACAGGTAACACGAAAGCATGAGTGCATTATGTAATAGAAGGTGCAAGAAGGGGGGGGGGGCACCAGTGTACCATTTCCAGGAACTAGAAGTGAGCTACATCACAGCTGAGCTTCAGACGGCAGGCTTTGGAGTTTTATTTCCTGATATTTGGACATGTTGCTTCTGACTGGATAACAGCAACGCGACTCTACCACTTACTTGCAACGTTGATGTTTTAGCTCCACAAATAACACAAGTTTGAAGGAGTTCTGCCATGTGGTGAAGTAGCTAATGCTAATGGTTAGCTTCTACTAGCCAAGACATGCTCTGCTGTTTCCTGGATGCTGAACCAACACCAGCCTTTGTTGTGTCAGCAGTTATGTTATTAAAATTATTATTAAATAGCCCTAAAATAACAGGCTTAGACACAAGGTGTGTGAGGAAATGTCAAAACACTGAAATATCACGATATTTCATGCATGATACTGAATCGATGTTTTTGAAGCAGTGCATTTTTTTTTTATATTAAATGCAAACATTTAGGCCCTGTCCACACGTAGCCGGGGATCTGCCAAAACGTAGATACTTTTCTACGTTTTGGCCTGTCATCCACACGAAAACGGAGTTTTTTTCACACGAAAACGGATCTTTTTAAAAACTCCGGCCAAAGTGAAGATCTGCGTTTTCTCCGTTTTGGGTGTCTGCGTGTGGACGGACAAAACCGGAGTTTTAAGGTCCGCAACGTCACTTTCCGCGACAAAAAATGCTGACATCACGTGTGCGACCTGTGTTTACACTAGCCGACATCATGGAAGCCTTCAGAGCTGCGCTCTGTCACTACCTGATCCATCAATTGCCCAAGCGCTTTCTGCTTGTTTGTTTTAGCAAGCAGAATTACTGCTCCTTGCGGAAGACCACAGACGAAGGACGAGGTTAAGAACGGGGGAAGTACTGCCGCCTACAGGTCTGGCATGTCCTTAACAACGTATTTATCCGGGTACGTGTGGACAGAGTTTGTTTTTAAAACGCGGTGGTGTGGATGCAAGTTTTTGGAGGGGCGGATATTCGTTTTCAAAAAACCCCGGCTACGTGTGGACTAGGCCTTACTGTATTTCTTTTGTGTGGTGCAATTCAACCTCCGACTGCTAGGTGGCAGCAGTTTTTACTGCCTTCATTCTGACGTAAGCAGGAGATCTCACGATAACACTGGTTGGAAGCGTCAGGCCTGAGGATTCCAATTAAATTTGGTCCTAAAAATCGCAAATATCTAGTTTTTAGTATCATAATTTATTATATCTTCTCTCCTGCACAGTGATGTATCTCGTATCACCAGATTCTTGCTCGCACACGCCCCATTACACATCAAAGTGTCATTTTCAGCCTTTGTGTGACACATAATCCAGTTTCTCATAAAAAACTGAGGCCTTAACTGGAAATGTTTGCTGTCTTTTGTTGTAATCAGCATTAATTCATGAGCCTGACCAAAATCACCTCGCATACCCAGAGTTTGTCCTTGATGGTTAGTCGACTTTGTGTTTGGTTGTCACGAACCTTCCCTGGTGCCATAGCAACAACGTTACACACCAACGACCTTACTTATCAGATTTGGTTTCCTGCAATGTATTTCACCAATTTAAAAATCTACCTGAAGGCTCTCCGTTTTTACATCGTGAAGCAGGTGAAGTTTGAGGTGCGTGTTGGTCAACATGACTACCATCAGCACAGCATGCAGCTAAAACAGCGTAGGTACTTGGTGGGTTTTTGTTTTTACTGTCTAGGTGCATCCTGTAGAACAACTTACTACAAAATATTCAGACACAAGTCATTTAAAGCTTGTGGATTCACGTTTTTGTTATTAGGTCGAGGAATGGCGTCGGTGCATGCGCACAATGGTCCTGTGAAGTTCCTCACCATGGCTGCAGCAGTGTGTAACCGAACATCGAGCCTACCAACATCCACCCCTTCCTCTTCGCTCCAGGGGTCACAGAGCACCTTACCGCCAACGGATGCTGCCTCTCCTCTTCCTCAGGGTCAGGCTGTGTGGTTGGGAGAGGCAGGCTGTACCACCATGGCCCTGCAGGACTCTCTGTCCTCCTCGTCCTGCGGCTCCCTAGCTCCATCCCAGGGATCCTTGGAGCACGGCCCTGAGGACGGGGCCCTTTATGACCTGCTTCACGACCCTGCTCATCACCAGAGGGGCCGCCGCTCGAGTAAGGTGGATGTCAGCTCTCTGCTGGTGGTGTCTGGAGGTCTGAGTCACCGTAGGGTCAACAAAAAGAACAAACAACCTCGCCACGAGGACAACGTGTCCACCATCATGATTTGGCAAATCCCTTTACTGAACATGTGACACCAGCACCACGTTGGATGGATGTTGTGTTTGTGTGTTTGTACGAATTTTATTTTCATGCATTTTTTTCCCCAAGTGAACCAAAATTGCTCACCAATAGGTCTGTCAACGCTTTAAGTGTTTGGCTTCAATCCAAACAACCAAATGTGTGATTTTCAGACCATTTTTAATATAATCGTGACGTTTCTGCCTTTAGAAACCAACAAAACCACTAAACCATCGCTAGCTTTAGCGCTAACAGCGGCTACGGACCCATCCAAGTCTATAATTTACTTTATACCATGAAAAACACTGAAAGGTCTCTAATTTCATTATTATTTGAATGTTTTGTAGCAATTGTCTTTAGTCTCTCTAGACACTTGGACTGATATGAACTGCAGTATTTAAATCAGTGTTGTAAAAAAACATGGCGGTGCATTTGAAGGTGAGAAAGGTAAGAGTGGAGTAGATTAGTTACACCAGGTTTAGCTCAGACGTGTAAACCTGGAGTGTGACAACAGTTTGAGGTGAAATGCGCTCGAGTTTAAAGGTCAGGAAGATCCAATTATTTTGTAAATGGAGGAAAGGGATTATTAAAAAAAGAAATCTAAGCATCCCTGGCTGGCCAGGTTTCTCTTTATAAGGGAGGAAGTTGCGTAATCATCAGTTCTTCTTTATTTCCCACATAAGAATATTTTTTAAAAGATTTATACGTTTGTCACACTTGTATGTACTGATGTATATTAACAATTCCATAAATCTTGTTTTATTGAGAACACTTGCTCATGTAGTTGCCTTTTATCTCCTTTTGTGAGCACTTTCTTCAGAATACTTCATTTTCAGCACCGTGGTTTTATTCAGTCCTGACTCGATATTTGCCATGCCACGTCTCTAGACTAAAGGAATAAAGGGTTGTGAGTGCTCGTTCTTTTCACTCGCTCCAACCCTGTCCTTCGCTGCGGTGGTGTGCAGCGATCGGTGCATGCCGAGACTAGCAATGTGCCTGAGGGGCTGCAGGAACGGATCCTGATGCAGCTCTTCCGGGATTTCTCCTTCTGCCGAACAGAGCGGGTCAAGGTTTTCCTTCCTTGCAGCGCCCACGTTCACGGTTGTGTAACCAGTCCTACGTTATCAGTTTTTAGCAAAAAGACGAGCTGATTTTGGACAAAAGCAGCACGCAAACGACACGAGGATTTAAGATGATCACATATAACTGATCTGGTAATGAATTAGACTTAAATGATGTAAGAATTCAGCAAATTAACCCAGTTATCAGTTAGTTTGACAGCTCTATAACTAAAGGACTTGTTTTCTTTCCTACCCCAAAGGTTCCCATAGCAACACTGATTTTGTGTGGCTGGACCAGCGGGTCTTCCCAGTTTCTGACATTAAAGCTTCTTTGCTGCCTACCCTCTAATCTCGCAGGGCTAATGGCTGTACGATGCTTTCGTTGGGGCTCCCCTATTTTTACATCTACGAGGCCAGTTGTCAAAAGACACGATCTCCATGAGGAGGCCATATAGTGGTGTTATTTTTAAATCTGCTGCTGCCACAAGGCTGCTATACATTGGTATGTAACACACAACTAAATTTAAGGCTAAAAGATCTCAAAAAGCAACACATTGTGCTTTTTCAATAGATATTCGAGATAAAAATAACTCCGAACGACACTTAAAACGTCGTAGGCCTCTTGGTTTAGGTTTTAGTCAGATTGACGAGAAAGAGGAAAAATGGCTTCCATGAGAGAAAAGAACAAGGGTCTGCTTCGCATTCATCTTGATGAAACCGTAAGACTTCTGGGGAAAATATTCTGTGGACTGATGAGACACAAGGGAAACCATCTCATTACATCTGGAGCGTTCAAGTCGAACACCATCCCAGCTTTCTAACATGGTGGTGGGAGTGTGATGGCCTGGGGCTGCTTCACTGTGATTGATGGAGCCATTAAGTCTGCTCTACCAGAAAATCCTGAAGGATCAATTCTGGCCTTTGACCTTAAGCATAACATTCATCTTGGGAAATTCTCTAATTTGGCTAAATTTTAGTGATTGTAAACTTGTGACTGATGTTAGCAGTTGTGCTGCATTTAGTTTCAGGTTGGGTTATCCCCATAATAAAAGAAACGGTCCTTTAAAAACTGCGTACGCGCGCGCGTGTCCCTGTATGGAATCCTTTCATACAGGTAGTCAAGACAGATTAGATGCGTAAAGGCATGCCGCATCTCCAGGACCAGCGCGCGCACACAACAGATGAGCGCATCCACGAGCTGTTAGGTGTAGGGTTAATGCCGTTTAAGGGGGCGGGGCTTGGATCAATAACAACCGCCTCACTTTTTGTCAACTGTTGGGTAAAAGGGAAGCAAGAACCACCGACTAGACGGGTCTGAGGGAATAAAAACGCTCCGTTCCCGGAGGAAAAGACGCAAGGTTCGCGCTGCGGAGGAAATTGGAGCTGACGGGAAGGAGGTGCTGGAAGTCCGATCGCCTCCTCGCCTGTTTTTTAGCAGGAACATCGGCTGGTTTGTGATCGGGAGGAGAGAAATCCCGAGTTGGTGGTTTTGGTGGATCTGTGGGCAGATGGTGAACGGAGGGGATAAAGCGTCTGAAGAAGTGTTTGAGGGGAGCGCCGGCTGGCTGCTTCGTCTTACGTAACTGCTTTGTGGAGGGACTGGCAGGAAAACTGGTGCTGACCCGATTCATCCAAGCCAGGAATCACAGGTAGGTCATCTCATGCTTAGACATGCTCTGAGTTCAGATGTTCATAATGTACGAAATATCCCATTTTGATTCGAGTTTATTGCGTTTTATTTCTGGATTTATCCAGATTCCTTTAGAACAGGGAAAGCCATGATCTGTTTTGAAAGCATTCTCAGATTTTCGATTTATTTCCCCTATAAATGCAAACCATTTGCGCATGCGCTTTAAAATGTCTCCAGATTACCACATCTAAAGGGCAGGCAGGGTGATGATTACAGTAGGTCAGACTGAATGTTGAGCTGTAGATGCTTTGGTCTGGTCTGTATGGGGCTCCGATTCTAAAAAACGCATTCAAACTACATTTAGTCACTTTTAGCTCCTTACAATAAAATTCCAGGTGTATTTATGGAATCGTAAAAGGTAATAATTATGTAAAATTTGCATATTTAGAATCAAATAATTTAAATGTATTAATTAAAAAAGAAATACTTGGCTAACATTCAAAATAAAAAACTGAAAAAGCAGGGTTATTGATATCTTTGTTTCTGTTTTGGTAAGGTTATGGGAAATACGTCTTTGCAGCTTTTCTTTTTCATTCTCTATGCTTACATTTTTGCTTGTGTTCTCTCCATGTAGGTGCAGAGCAAGGACAGCCGTCGCACGTTTTTTTGCGTTCACTCAAAATGATAGAGGATGCTGTCTCCTTTTGCCAGTAAGCAAACTTAAATGAATGAGGGATACAGACCGGGAGGAGGGACCATCAGTGTGGAGGCTGATCCAAACCTCCACACGGTGAACCCTGACCTGGTAACTCTCACGGACAAAAACAGGAACGTCTGCCCGGGTTTCGACCACGGATTCCTGCAGGACGACCAGGACTTCAGCCCTCCTCCCATGTTTGAGCAGGAATACCTGCTTGATGGAAAGCCCATGGAGAATAACTGCTTTGATCATCAAAAAGCTAACAGCTCCCACATCTCAAGAGCGGCCCAGTATGGACTTTCTGGTGAACCGGAGAGTCCAGATCCTCATGCTGATGCTGCCGTAGCCAATCACAAGGCTGGTGTGCAACAAAATTGTAAAAGTGGTGAATTTCACAATGGAGGAAGAGCTAAAGTTTCTTTCAGTGAACTTCCTCTGAATCCAGCCAAACAGGAAACTGACTGTTTGATTCTAAAATCAAACCACAAAGCTGAGAGTGCACAGCCTAAAGAAGAGCCCGATTTGGTCATTGAGGTTGGCGGGCAGACGATCAGCGCTCACAAGTCCGTCCTGGCGGAGAAGAGCGACTACTTCAAAGCACGTCTCTCTCGCAACATTCTCAAAGTGAAAGGTGTGAGTTACAAGACTTTGTCCACATTGATAGATTACGTTTACACCTCTCAGATCAGTGTTACCAAGGACAATGTGGTGGATGTCATCACAGGGGCTAAAGTCCTGCAGATCCCTTGTGCCGTGCAGGCAGCTATGGACTCCATGTCTGAGCAAATCACCGCAGAGAACTGCTACGAAATTCTGGCCATCTCTAAGAAGCAGCGCCTGAGTGAACTGAAGGAGACGGCGTACGGCTTCATGAGTGACAACTTCCTCCAGGTCCTCAAAGACCCCGCTGTCTACGGACGTTTGACGGGGTCGGAAAGGGACCTGATATTGAAGAAGAGGATGGACGGGAGGAAGATACTGATGGTTGCCGAGGTAAATGATGTGTTTGATCGAGTTGGAAGCCGTCCGCCAAGTCGCTGCGGAAGCCGACCACAGAGCCCCCTGTCTGCTGGGTCTACGGAGGAGAACTTTTTGATTTACTTCTTCAGTGAAGCAGAGAACGACTGGAGACCTTTGACTGCGATGCCCGAGGACATAAACACTAAAGGGTGTGGGATCTGCACCATGTTTAACTATCTGTTTGTGGCTGGGGGGATAAAGGGCTATGGGGACAAGGGCAAGGTGTCTGACAAGGTCTTCTATTACAACCCCTTAACCAACCGTTGGGCTGAGATCAGACCGATGAACCAGGCTCGAGCTCAGTTGAAGCTTGTGTCCATGGATGGCCACCTGTACGCCATCGGAGGCGAGTGTTTGTTCACAGTGGAGAAATATGACCCTCGAATGGACCGCTGGACATCGATTGCCCCCTTGCCTAAGGGAGCCTTCGCTGTGGCCCACGAAGCCACCACCTGCAGTGGAGAACTCTACGTCTCAGGAGGTTCTCTCTTCTACCGCCTTGTCAAATATGACCCCAAGAGGGATGAGTGGCACGAGTGTCCCTTCAACAACAGCAGGAAGAAGTCCTCCGACATGGTGGCGCTGAAGAGCTTCATCTACCGCTTCGATGTCAACAGAGAAGAGGGGATCAACGTCTTCAAGTACAACACCATAGTGAAGATGTGGCACGACTGTGCATCCCAGAGGCCGGGGAGTCATTTACCTTTCAGGTGTGCCGTTGTCGGAAACTGCATCTACTGTGTGAACAAAAGCCAGACTCTTCAGTTCGTGGTGGAGGAGGAGAACGCCTACTTCGTCGAGGAGGCCCTGAAGGCACCTCTGGAGGCGAAGGGCGTCCTTTTTCCTTTCGTACTCAGTTTGCCTGAAAAATCTGAAAAGGTTACATAGTGTGTGTTTGTGTGAATGTGTTTGTGTGTGGGCGATCCAGAACAACACAATAATCGTGACTCAGTGAATCTACGATAAGTAGAAGACCCTTTATTCATTTTCAGCGTCAGCTTTCAGTCTCGGTGTTTCAATGCCTGCTTGCAGTGGAATGTGTGTACTTGCATGGCTATTTAATGCATCTACAGGGTGAAGCCTTAATGTTTTTTTCCAACTGTATTGTAGACATGACATGATGAAAGTGATTCTACCATGTTCACTTTTCTGTGGTGCAGTTTTTGCATTTAGAATAGGAAATATTCAGAGTATAGTTGATTGGTTACTATGGTAACACTAATGTTCCGTTTAGAGTTGTATTTTGTAAAAAAAAAGAACATGTTTCAGACCCTGTACGCACGTAGCCGGGCACCCCACAAAATGAAGATGTTTTTCTACGTGTTGGCCGGTCATCCTCTTGAAAGTGACGATACACGACGCCAAAAATGATTCTGTCAAAAACTCCAACCAAAGTGGAGATTTGTGTGTTCTCTTGTCGGCGCTAAGTTAGATTTCACAATGCCACCACCAACAAAGTACTCCGACGTCTCGCGTGTGACCTGTGTTAACGCCAAGTTACTGCTCTACGTAGAAGAACACAGGTGAAGGACGACGTTAAACGTGGTTATTGTCCACCACTTTCTTATTCCACACCCGAGGAATATTTTTCTGCAGAGATGCTGAAAATTTGGAGCACCACTGTCACCTCTACAAGCCTGGCATGCCGATGGCATTTGCTTTGCAATGCACTGGATTTATTCGCTGAAAACCAGGTGGTGTGGACCCAAGTTTTTATTTCTAGATGGGCAGGGGAGGATACCGGCTTTGTGTGTACACGACCTTGGTGCGCTTTATGAATGACGCGACACGGGCTCTCTGCAAACGAATGAGCATTAAAAAAGTTTTGGGTTGAATTTGACAAAAGTTTATTTTTGAATATTAATTAAACATGTTTTAACTAAGAACATTTAAAATAGATTCAAAAACATATTTTTGCATTCAGAACACAATATTTTAGTTAGGGTTAAAAGTAGGTCAAACACCATTTAGCTTGTTTTTTTTCCATTTAAAATTTTTGAGACTTAAGTTCTTTTAAAAAAGGATGAAAAGTTTAACCCCAGTAATTCCACCCCTAAAGCCTTTTTTTTTTTTTTTTTTTTTTTGAGAGGAGGATTCTCAGGATGACCAAAATCCGGTGCGTTCATTGCCTTTGTTGGTTCCATAATGACGTTGCTTTATGACACTAAAAAGCCATGATCGCCAGTGCACATCAACAAAAGTTTTAATCTAAACTTCCTACAGTTATTCCAACGTTTTTCTGTATTTCTGTGCTGCCATAACACAGTGAGACTCTTGTAGGCTGTGGAAGGCCATTATGGTTGTGGAGTTGTTCATCTGATTCCTGGTTAATGGATGTGGTTTTGATATTTTTCCAGCTGACTTGTGTTTTGTGAGCTTTTTGTATGAATTATGGCAACGCTGGACGCTCCGCTGTGATGGACAAGTATAAATTGGTGCAAAACCATAACTTCCTGTTAATGAGCTCTGAAATAAGTAGTTGGATCTTGTTTATCAGTGCTTCAAATAAAATATTTTGTCTTGAAATTATTTTTTTTCTAAGGTTTCTTCAGACTTGAGTGGATTCACACTGACACCTAGTGGACAATAACTGTATCAGCAGATAATAAAAAGACGTGTATAACTTAATATTGGAAATGTAATTTTTATATTTATATTTGAAATTGGTTTAGTCTCTCTAAATCAGCATGTGTTGTAATATTGCATCTTTTTGTTTTATGGCAGAAAAATGCCCCAAGATGTGAATGAAGAGTTTAAATTATTTACAAAGATAAATCCATTTTTATGCCAGTCATAAACAACATCCAGATGTTTATTTTCCAGATTTTAATTAAAAAACTGAAATTTGGATGAAAAACTATTTTCAATGTATAAAATCTAGAAAATGTCCACTTAAACCCTAGTTTGTAACTCTTGTTAGGTTGCATGTTCCCTTCCCCTGCTGTGTTTTCTGCGTAGACTTGTTTCAAGCCTGTTTCAGTTGAATCAGGGGAATTTCAACGTGTTTGTGGTGGAGAGCAAAATATGACAAAAATCAGCAGCACCGTGTTAAGCAACCTCACAAATTATGTAGGATAAGGAAATAGAAGAATGAGACAGTTTCATGGGGATACACTGAGTATGAGGTGATAAATTAAATTGATTAGTCCTGCAATCTTCTGCACACTGAGAGCCCCAAGAGAAAAAAAGTGGTTTTAATGGAAATTACAAGACTAATTCCAGTTGTCGCCACTGGAGGGCAGTGTGAGCTCGGTATGAAATGTAGAGTTGACGAATTTCTGATGTCTGTGGTGGTGGATGCTCTACCATATCAGTAGTCTGACAAAGTACCTGTGCCTGAACCTGACTTGTCCAGTTCTAAAGACCTGAAAGACCTGCTGTAAGCAGGCAGAGGTTACGATTTTAAAAGAACCCGTAAGGCAGGGGTGTCCAATCCTGGTCCTGGAGGGCAGGTATCTTGCATGTTTTAGTTTGAACTCTGTTTCAACACACCTGATTTCAATCAGCAGCTAATTAATAGGCTTCTGCAGAGCCTGATGAGCTGGTGCACAGGTGTTTCAACCACTGAATCAAGCCTGTTGGAGCAGAAAAACCACAAAACCTGCTGGATACCGGCCCTCCAGGACCAGGATTGGACACCCCTGCCGTAAGGTGAGTAACACTGGAATGCATACTGAACTGGCATGGATGTCCGTTTGACTGGCTTTGTTTGACATTGTAAATTAGACTCTAGTCAAACATTATTTGAGCTTATATTGTTGCTATATGCAATACTTCGACGTTATTTTACATTGTGCAAACCCTCCTTGTGAAATCCTGGCTGGGAGACCCATCACGTCAGAATGTGACAGTGAGACTTACCACACTGCACAGTATATTGACTTCTGCTTGAACCCTTTGTCCACAAGACACGACACTTATATTAAGGATACGTATGATTTTGTGGCAAAGATCAAAAATCTAAATGTTCCTGATGAGGCCATCCATTTTACCATGGATGTGGAGAGCCTCTACACTAATAATTTTAATGTTTCTCACACGCTAGACATCAAAGTCTTTTTTTAAGCCAACAGATACACACGTGTTGTTCCACAGAACGAGCTTTCATCCAAAACACACATTTGCTGGAATAATTAAGTCACAGCTGCTGAGATTCCACAGAATTTGCACACAAAAATGTGATTTTTCAGGAAGCTACAAAACTACTTTTCTCTGCTTTGTCCAGCAGGGGGTACTGTCGCACCTTTCTCAGGAACGTTTATAAAACCTTCCTGGAGAAAAAATCCTATTAATGTCACCTCAAATGCCTTTAGTGATCCCATTTTCACCACAAATGTTGGGCTGCGTCAGGTTGTTCAAAAAGAACTTTCAGACTCTTGTTCACAGCACACAAATGCTCACAGACCATGAAGTGCTCGCAGCCTACAGGAGGAATAAAGACCTCAGACACTACTTGGTTAAAGCTAGCTCAAACTTATCAGTGCAACCAAATCCAGAGATTTGGGGGAATTCTTTAAACACAAACAGTGGATTTACAATGACACAGTGTATTTATCACTAGTTAAAGGGAACGCTCGCACTTCAGACTGTGTTTATCTGATATCATGTACAACCTGTTGTAAAAGGTATGTGGGGGAGACTAAAAACATGCTCCTGGTCAGATTCACTCGGCACCAGTGGCAGCTGGCCAGTAGAGGGCGATAGGGCGCCGCCCTCCCAGTTATCCCCAGTGTTTATAATTTTTATTTAAAAAAAAAAATTAACAATAACCACATATTCTAAGTTAATTGTGTGTTTTGTAACAAAAATAAATCATATAGATATAGATAGATGGATAGATAGATAGATAGAAAACGCCTGGAGTACACAACCAATGTTGGAGGCTGTAGGCTGTTTTTGAATCGCCCAAACAGGACGGGACCAGTCGTCCAATTGCTGACAATAAAATCAAAGGGTAGGAATGGGAATGTATCCAATCAGCGTCGACGTTGTTTCAGAAGCATGATGGGCGATAGAGCTCCCGCCAAAGGTTTCGTTGGTGTTCGGTAGAACTCGGCAGGGTCGTTTTTGGTCGTGACTTGTGACGCAGATGTAACATGGACGCCACCGGTGACTACAACCAGCATGGATACCGGATCTCAGCAGCCACTGAATTCAGTTCGGTCTTTTCTCCAGTATCCGTTCGAGAGGAGAACTATGGTGGAAAAACTTAATGTCAAAGAGCTTGGACCAGATCAGCCCGACGTAAAGATAAGCGAGCAGGAGGAGGAGAGAGGTAAACTACACACCAGGCTTCTGGGAAGGCTTGGCTAGCTGGATGCAATCACGCTACTGCGTTATTTTGCTTTCTGTGTTTGTTATTCAAAACGACTGTGACAGATGAGGCATGGATTGAGTCAGGAGTTACAGACATGAAACATTTTTCTGAGAAGGTGAAGAAACACGAGTTATCCCGGGCACACATGGACAACACGGTGAAGCTAGCCATGCTAGGCAGAGCTAACATTGCCATGCAGCTAGAGACGAGGGGCACAGGCTTGCAGTGAAGAAACACAATGAAGAAGTGGATCAGAACCGGCACATTTTGTCCAAGAGAGAGATGTCAACACAGTGTATGAGCTCAAGGATGACCTCAGATTTTTCCAGATGATCAGAGACTCGGATGACTTTGATCCAGTCACTGAGAGAGAGGCAGGAGGCTTTGTGAGAATGCTGGAGGAAGAAGATTTCGGCTTTCTGCTGGCATTGTGTCACAAGATCATGCCACATGTGGACATGCTGTTCAACCAGCTGCAGAAGAGGAACACTGACCGTCTACATCACAGGGGTCATCCAGAGCTTCACCAACAGTATGCAAAAGATCAGGTACATACTTGTTTATTTAATATTATTGTGATGAAATTCTCCAGTATGTTAGTTTCACAAACAGTAATGTGGATGTGGACCATATATGGTCATGTTATTTTATGTGCAATTTAATGCAGTATTTTTCAACCTTGGTCCGCAAGGCAGTGTGCCAATAGTCAGACACGCGTGGATTAATCAGTTTGTCCAATAATGTAAGACAGGAAATAAAAGAGCTGTGCTTAATTCAGGAAATAGTGAAGTTGTGCACAAAGCTCAGAAAGCACAAGTTTGTTTAAAAAAAAATAGCACAGCCCCACCAAAAATATTTTTCACCAGCCGCCACTGCTCGGCACAGATGCAACATTCTGTCAAAGAAGGAGACGAGCACACATTTGGTTCAACACTTTATTATGCATGGATGGAAGTCCGTTAATCCCACGGTGCTCGAGTCTAATCCGGACTGGACCACACAGCAGCAGAGAAGAACTGAGAAGCTGAGGATGGTGAGGCTGGACACGGCGCACCCCAGAGGCCTAAATGAGCACAGACCCCGGGCTGTCACGTTTGTTTAACATCACCTCACCTATCCTGACTTGAACTGATATGTGATGCGGGTGTGTTTGGAGGTTGAGCTAAAAAGAGGCCCCTCCCACAACAACCTCCTAACCTGCTCACCAAGCACTGAGCACCTGGTGCCAAACCCCGTGAAAACGTGCTCTTGCCACAGGGTGCAACCAAGGAAACATCACCGCAAGGCCAGAGAGTGGAAGTTTGTTCTGCTGCTACACGCCAAGCCAGGCGGAACCAGAGCCGGATTAAATAAATGGACTACACCAGGCAGGCTGCATTTTTAGGGCCCCCTTCCCCCCCTCCATTGATGTTATTTAATGAATTGAAATCTGAAACTTACCAAAGTTACAAATAAAAGTTCATTCACATTTTACATAGCCTAGTCTTTGGTTACAAATTGGTTGTTTGTATGCCAAAATAAGTCATGTGTTGTATGTAAAACATTCTATCAGACAATTTTTTGATGTTAATAATTTATACGTCATTACACAGCTGTATTAAATGCTAATAAATGATTGGGAGTGTCATTGTCAAGGCGGTACCAGTAAATAACCACTAGGTGTCATTAAACTAGGTAAACAGAGCAAATATGTGTCTCTTATTTGCTCTGTTTATATTTAATCACTACATTTAATTACAAATATTTTCTGCAAAATACAATAGCTTACAACATTTATAAATGTTGACAAATTAATCACATGATGGTGGAAAGACATTCAAGAATAAATAGATTAATTTGAATGGACTGAAGCATGATTTAAAGGTGCAAAAACCAACTATAAACACGCAGCTTAAATTATTACAGTATAAATTTTATACAATCTATAATCTTAAAAGAAAGTATTTTAATAAAATGAAAATGTTATCTTAAGTTTTGATCTTGCTTTATGCTCATTCAGGCTGTTTTCACCTCTGCTGAATCAGAAATCCTGTGTCAGTTTTCTGAGTGTGAACTTATTGTTTTGCTATTTGAACATTAATAAAATTATTTGACCAATAATTAATAAAACCAGCAACACTTACCAAGGAAACCATTTTGCATTCTCCACTCCGGGATAATCTTCAGCCTTCCAGCATCACATGCCACAGTCACAGCAGAAACACGTCTGAAG